GGACGCTTGATCGGATTCCCAAAAGCAGGTTTGAGCAGCTGCTGATGCGTACTCGAGTAAGCGCGACGTATTGACGGAGTTGGGAGATTTCGAATGCTAAATCGTCGACGGCTAGAACTAGTCCTTCTAGTTCAGAGATGGGGGAAGAGGCGGCTGATGAGTCTTCGTAGTACTCAGTTTCTGTGTCGCTGTGGGCAGACTGGGGGTTCGTGGCAGCGTCGACAGGTACTGCAACGTGGAGGTCTCGGTTGTTGAGGGCGTGGTGGAATTCCTCGAGTGAACGTCGTTCTTCGTCCGTTACTAGGCTCTCTCTGATGTTCGACAGTTTGACGATTGTAGAAGTGATCAAAGACGACAGCTAGAGTGAGGACTTGAGCAAGAACAAGTAAGAGTATTACTTTGAGGTGGGTAGGAATGTTGGAGAGGACAACTAGCTAGCTTAGCTAGAAGGCAAGTAGATGTTTTGGATGGGTAGGAGGACGGTGAATGACAACACGTCCGAGGGATGAAGGAAGAGGTGGGTTAGGGCTATAATGGGTTCAAGCGAGATGGTGCGCTGTGAACGGATCGTAGAGTGAGCTTTCTATTTTGTGAGGCAACGATAAACTATAACAAGAACTAAACCTTTCTCCTTCTGCACTTGCAGGGAGTAAGGGTCCAATGAGCTTGAGGTCAACAGACGCTAGAAATATAGCGAGTCGAGGACTTTGAGAGGTAAGCTTCAAAGGTTCTTGTTGAGGAGTAAAGCGGGTAAATTCAGTAATAGAAAGCTAAGGAGCTATACATGAATAGGCACGTCTTTATATAGAGAACTGTCCGTTCCTCAGACCGAAAGGAGAATATACGAAAAGTGGTCTGAGGAATTAATCAACCAATAGGAAAAAGGGAGAGTAACTATCGTACGACTTCTGACTTGATTAATCAGCAGGTGAGAGACTTGTACTAATAATAGAAGATTGTTACGCGTGGTCAGGAACCGTATCCTCATGATGAGGTACGATTCTAGATAAGGCGTTTATTAGTATTACCAGGCTTTACTGGGGCTTGGAGCTGGTTGGCGAGATGTCTACTACCAGTCCCTACCCAGTGTGCTGGCTAGCTGGGAGCGATGCCCAGTCTCTGATCTGTGATATAAAGTGGTAGCGATGGTTAAGAAAGCCTGTGAGGGCTATGAGAAGTAAGATGGCAAAGGATACCTCTAGCCCTAGAGCCAGAGGTGTAACGGAAAAAGCGTTCGAGAACCAAGACATAACAAAGATAAGAAAATAGTAAAACGGTCCTTACAACAGAGTTCAACTATCAGATATGTGACAAGGGGATGCTGGCCATTATTAGAGCCTTAGAGCACTGGCAGCACTACCTAGGCATCAGTTTGAAATTTGGACTGATCATAAGGATCTGGAGTTCTTCACAACAGCTCAAAATCTGAATCAACAACAAACACACTATGTGTTGTATTTGCCTAGATTCAACTATAAATTAACCCATAAACCGGGCTCTTCAATGGGAAAAGCCGATGTATTATCTAGAAGAGAAGATCATGCCAAAGGCATTGAATCAGACAACAAAGGTGTAGTCCTCATAGATCCAACAAGGGTTGCCAATGTTCAAATCAGCCAAGATTCAGATCTTCTAGAAGTCTTCAGGAACAACCTATCAGCAAAAGAGAAAAAGCGCCTTGAAGGCATTGCTACTTACTTATGTTAAAACAGGCTCTTCCACTACAAGAACAAGATATATGTGCCTGAATCTGCAAGGATAAAGGCTATTGATAGACACTATGACACACCAGTGGCTGGGCACCCTGGGTGGCGAAGGACTGTGGAGTTGATCTCCAGATACTATATGTAGCCTGGCATGGTGAAGGACATACAGGAATATGCCAAAAGTCGTCTTTGCTGTGCCATAGCAAAAATTTCTCATCAAGCCTAAATTATCTACAGCATTCTATGTTGGGATAAACATACAACATGTGAACTTCACTCCAATACTGACAGTCAGTTTCATATTACATAATTCTCCATCTCAAGAAGCAAGAAAAATACCTTCCTTTTTTGTTGCAATATTTTTGGACTCATCTGAACGCTCATTTTACTCAGACTTTTTCGGACATTATACCTCAGTCTTATTTTCTATCAGACTGAGTTACTAATCAAACCTTTATAGAGTTAAAATTCCACCCACACATAGACAACTTTTTCATGCCTCCAGGCATCTTTAATTGTCGCCTGCAATAAGTGCAGGGAGGAATGTGTTGTGGCATAGCAGTAATTGCCAATGCTAGACTGAGTATTGTTATCACCACATTGACAAGCTTGACATTGCAATTGATAGCCAAGGGCTCATTCTTCTACTATCAAACCATGAACATCCTTAAGGCCTTTGTTTGTCCATCTTTTGGATAATACATCTTCTGACTGACACTTGGGGCATTTATTTAGGTCGGCATAGAATGGATGGACTATGTTGAGCGGTTTTAAGTAAGTAGTCAGTGGTTCAATTACTGGATCACATTGACACATTCTGAGGTGGAAATAGGATGGTGGTGAGAAATGGGGGCCTAAGATACATAAATTCTTTGGCAAACTTGAAGCGTGTATGGCCTTCTTGTTTTTAGGGTTTTTCTTTGTTTTTGTGTACACAAAGTCTGTTACAATACACAATTTTCAGACCTTTAACTTTCTTCTTTACTTTTCACACATTCGTGCCATGCAGCACTTTCCTTTTTGTTCAAACTCCACCTTCTCACACTGCACTGTTTTTCTTATTTTAGATACAAGTCTCTCACACAGTGGAGCTGGTCACACGGGCTGTGCCTGATGACATCATCAGCCACTGCCTTCATCAACTGTATAGTATACATATACAAACAACCTGTAGTAGTACAAATACCCAATAGATCCAGGAGACTCCTCAGCAAGTCCTCCTGTTGTTTACCCACAACTAAATTGGTTCTATCGTAAAGGGTAACCATTCCCACTTACTTCACTCTGAGCTTGTTTCTGTGTGCACCAGAGTATAAAAGCTTTGGTTGTAACAAAGTCAACATATTCAGCAATACTTGCCTCCCACAATAGTTGGGATTTTGTGCGGCACCTAATGTTTTATTGTGTTCTGACCAGGTTGAAACACACTTCAGGATCTATTAAAGATGAATCAGGATCTTCAAAGTTTATCTTTGCTCTCTCAAGTATAACACTGATATTATTTTCCCATTCACTTTCAAACAATGTCTGTTCTTTTCCAGACAAGCTATTCTTCAAGATTGTCTTGATAATATCAGGCTCAAACACTGCCATCTTTTTAGAAAATAGTACAAGTGGTTGGTGGTGTAGAAGACAGGAGGCTGTAATGTAAGCCCCCCTTTTTCTTTTATTTGCTGAATTTGCTGCGTCTTTTAAAAAATATCCCATACACTACAGTACACTCAGCACCTTTAGAGATAGGCTGCACCACCTTGTGAAACATCGAGCATTTAAAAATATTGTGAATTTATACATGATACATTTTTTTTGTACATTAGTCTAGCTTGGATGTGAAACAAACAGTAATAGCCTTCTTTAGCATGCAATAAAGGAAGCTGAACCACCGCTCTTGCATATGCAATGAAAACATGCACCTAATAACCGTCCCCCATCGAGTCCAGGCCCATGCCATAGTGAGAAAGACACAGAAACTTGCTGCATAAATAGAATTTGATCAATAAAGCCAGGAGGGCAGTGTTTACCTTGAGAGTGTTAGTTTTGGTGATTCTGCACCTTTGTGCTACCTCTATATTTTCATTTCTTTCTCTATCTATTCCTCTACCATTCAGTATTGATTATGTTCTCTATTATTTCGCCTTTGTGGCTCCTTTGTTTACCTTTGTTTACAAAACTTCGGACAGTACTGCAGAGTCCAATGCTTCCTATTCTCTAGTTACTCACATTGGACTCTAGGTACTGTATACCTGTCATACTCTCTAATAATATAGTTACTCACATTGGACTCTAGTTTCCAGTCCCTGATAGCTCTCAGCAAGTGGTTAGACACTTCCTTTAAGCTTTGTTCTTAACAGAGAGTTGAACACAGGCAGCTGCTCATCCTGTGAAAGCTTTGGTAGCGTCAATATTTATGTAGTGGATAAAAGTGTTGTGTGTACCTCTGAATCACCGATATTCCACAGCTTAAAAGAGACTTGAAGAAGATTATAATTACATTCTTGAGGCCTCAACAATATTTCTGCCATTTGTACGTCTTCTCCCATGCCCTGCACAATCACATGTATACAGTATGTCCCACTAAAATATTCCATGTATCAAAGCTAGGCCCCTCAGTTGCCACTGGCTCGAGCCAACAAGGAGTGAGTGGATGTGCGTGTTTTTTGGGGTCATTGTTGCTGAATAAGTTGATGTCACCTTTTGTGGTTAGGAAACTCTCCCTTCTGGATATGAGACAGTCAATTTAAAAAGTGACCTTGAAAAAATATGGTGGCAAAGTAGGAGCTGCCTTGTATTTGTAGCATAGGAGATTGTAGTATTCAGAGATGTATTTGTCGTGGTCTGGCTTGGGATATCTAACAGTGTGATTATTGGATGCTAAAAGTGACAAAACCGGATAAACCCGGTCTCTGCCAAAGCAGCCATTGTTCTCCATGGAGTAACCATTGTGCCCTTGTACTCCTAGGAGTCATTATACTGTAGCGAGTAGCACCTCCAACTATAAGTAGTAGGGGGTTTAGTATAGGAATACCTCAGTTGTTTCTATAGCCTCTCGGGCAGCGGCTGAGGTATGTTACATTACATTTATTAGAGATCACCTTAAACTAACATCTATTGTAGTTTCACTTAGGTAAATAATAAAGTCGTTTCTATAGCCTCTCGGGCAGCGGCTGAGTTTCACTTAGTTTTATTAAAAAGAGTGTACCTGCCACCCAGATCACTGGGCTTAATTTTGGTTATTAGCCAAAATTGCCTTCGAGCGAGCCTAGTGAATGGCTGGGACTACTCGTCATTTTGTTAGGACGCAAGAATCCTCACCAAAGATGAGGTGGGGACTTTGTCGTAGGGACTCAAAAGCCATAAATATGTCCCCAAGTTAGTATACAAAAAAGCAATTTTGTAACTAGTAGAACACATTATGTATAGAAAACTTTTGGGGTTTTTTTTTGCGAGTGAACTTCGCCAGAAAATGGTGGTGAGAGCGACAACAACTTACGGATGCATCGATATGACACTTTGACGAATAATAACTGTATAAGCCCATATAGCTATCAAAAAAAAAAACATCAGTCCCATTCCAGTTCACGAGGTTACAAAAGATTCACAACGACAACATATGCACGACAAGCCAACCTTGAACCTCCTACGCCTTCTTCACCATCATCACAGCCAACGGCCACTCGATCTCCACCTCGTCCTTCCCCTGCACCTCCGTCCCCTCCTCCTTCTGCGCATGCTCCATAAGAGACCTCCAGAACCGAAGCGCAATATCGCCTTCCGGGCGCTGCTTATCCTCCGGGTTCCGCTCGTGGAAGGTGTGCAGAGAGCTCCATGTGTGGAGATATGACAGCAGGTCGTCCCAGCTCATCTTCTTGCGCAGGATGACTGAGCGTGGAGAGGCGAGCTCGGGGTAGTGTGAGCCTGTTGACACGTATCACGTTTGGTTAGTCTTTTTCTTTTTTTTTTTTTTTTTTTTTTGGTTTTTACTCTCTAAGAAGGCGGGGGTAGTGGAAGGAAGGAGGGACGTACCGGTGAAGAACACGCGCTCAAAGTCGCAGAATTGGCCCGGTACGACAGCATTCGCTTCGGGCACCTCAACGAGGTGGTTCTCGAGGATCGACCGTCCCGGCTGCTGCCAATGCGGTCCCAGCGAGTTGACAGGGTCGCTACCTTGAGCGTACTGGTTGATGAGCGGCGTCAAGGCTGGGTATTGAGAGAACCTAAATTCTGAGTATATCTTCCCAAACATGCAAATTAGCCATCCATCAATCACTTGCACAACATTTACAACATATGTATATATATATATACATATGGAATCAAAATAAAAAAGTGGACATACCCAAAAAGCAGCACTTCCGCCTTTCCTCAACACACGCGCAGCCTCGGGCCACATCTTTGACCAATCAAACCAATGACCTGCTTGCGCTAAAAAGCAAAATAATAATAATAAATGAGCCGTCTAAGCATATGCCGGAAGAGTGGCATTTCTAGAAGCGCGCAAAACGTACCGGCGATCATCAGGTCCACACTCCCGTCTTCCAAAAAACCGAGCTTCTCCGCTCCAGACTGCACGTAATCGAACTGCCCGGTCGAGATGTGCTGCGCTTCGAGCGCCTCGCGCGCGCTCGCGATCATACCCGCACTCGGATCTACACCCGTGACTTTCTTGAACGGCGTCAGCTCGACGGTTGCTTGGCCTTTTTTTGCATTTTCGAGGAGAGGTTGGGACGATCGTTTCGAGATGGTGGTGGAGGACGGTTGGAGAGTTTGGTTCGACGGTTGGGGTTGACGCGATCAATAACACACTACTTGGACGCAAGAACCCATACACCACATACCAGTTCCACACCCCAAATCAACAGCCCTGTCCCATCTCGCGCCTTTCGCACCTTCGTGATAGCGGAAGATAAAGTCAAACAGCGAACGCGGATACGTCGGTCTAAACGACGCATATATAGCAGCGTCGAACGTTGCTTTTCCGAACGTCGCCATGATGATAATGAGTTTCGATAAGGTAAGTGGGAGTCGTCGGGAGAGATAAGAACGGAAGGGACGAAAAAGCCAAATGCGACTCGTGTCAAAAAGCTGCCAACGAGTTTGCAAACAGTAGAAACCACCGGTCTACAAGTTTGAAGTATTGTGGAAACACGGGAAGGATGCCCTCAGGGCTTTGACAAAGCCGCCTATATATACAAGAAAAACCTGCCTAGGTCAGCAGACGCTTCAAAGTTCTCACTCATCTATTGGTCGCTATCAGCACTGAAGTAAACGGATAACACTGGACGTTCGGATTCACGGACATCGCTCATGCGTTTAGCAGGTCAAGTTGAGATTTGAAAAGGTCTCCGTTAGTGAAGGTGACTGAGCTCGGCCGATTAGAGAAGTGGTGAGGTTCGGCGATACTCGGCTCTGCTACATACACTTAGAAATGGCCCCTGTATGCCCGCAAATCAGTGCTACTCAATCACACGCACCTCAGCAACATCCTCGGCCGTTTCATGATAAGAGTCATTGCAGGAAATAAATGACTCACCGCAAGCACTCATGGTATGATATCAACGCCATCAATATAACAAATCACCGTCAGAATGCCGATTCCATTAAGACGGCGGTACAACTCATTGCATAGACACATTTAGAAATTTAATGAAAAGGACAGAGAAAAAGTCTACCATTCACAATTAACAATCAACCCTTTCACTGTGCAGTGTGCTCAACATCCACCAGCCCAAGTGTTAATTAAGCTGACACCGAAATTCAAAACCTATCCATTGTTTCCAACCCAATCCCCGTCCGTCCCAAGGCTAAATGCTTCTACTCTGCCGCCAACTCCAGCTTAATCTTCGCGATAGCAGCGGCTGGGTTAAGACCCTTTGGACAAGTGCGCGAGCCTGTAGAAGTACAAAGCAAAGTAGAAACACATTAGAAGTAAAAATTAAAGAGAGAAGTGGTGTGAACATTTAAAATTGGAGCGATGGGCGTATTAGCATAGTCTCGATAGAAAAACCACCGTGTGCTTACAGTTGAAAATAGTGTGACACCTATACATGCTCATCTCATTCTGGAGCTTTTCCTTCCTCTCCGCACCGTACGAGTCCTATCCCACCCAATCCACCCAATCAGCACCCCTTTCCCACAACAAAAAAGAGCCTACTCACCCTCGAATCAGCAATCCACCTATACGCCTGCATCAGCGTCGCCGGGCCCAAATACTCATCCTGGTTCCACCAATACGACGGACAGCTCGTCGAACAGCACGCACACAAAATACACTCATACAGCCCGTCCAATTTCTTCCTCTCCTCCTGGGACTGCAAAAACTCGCCAGACGCCGGGGGGTTGTCGTTCTGCAGGTAGGGCTGGATGGATTTGTATTGTTTGTAGAAGAGGGTGAGGTCGGGGACGAGGTCTTTGACGATGTACACTGTGTGGTTGGGTGAGTAAGGGGTGAGCAAGTAAACGTGCGTAAACCAAAACCCAAAAAAACTCACTATGCGGCAAGGGATACACCTTCGCATCCTTCCCTACATTCCTATCAGTCCTGCAAAGACACGCAAGCGTGTTCTGCCCGTCGATGTTCATGGCGCACGACCCACAGATGCCCTCCCGACAGGAACGGCGGAAGGTGAGGGTAGGGTCGATTTCGTTTTTGATTTTGATGAGGGCGTCGAGGATCTGTGGGGTGAGGGGTGAGAGGAGGGAGTGGAGAGGGACAGAGTGAACTCACCATAGGTCCCGTCTGGTTCAAATCAATAGTGTACGACTGCAGAGTGGGCTTCTTTGCAGGCTCATCCGGGTTCTGTAATAGTATAGCGTCAGTACAGAGTCTAGTCCAATCCATACTCGTCTCATCACCCCCACTCCCGCCCCTGCAATCGCCAAAAAAGGGGTGTGGAAGACGAGATGAGGGAAACGGGAAGAACGAGGAAGGAAGGAATGAAGAGATAGGGAAAACCACGCACCCAACGATAAATCTTGAACTCTTTCATGAGCACCGGTTTCTCAGTCGGCACCGCCTGACTCCTCCTCGCAGACGAGGCAAATGACCTTACGCCTCCTCCAACATTCTGCGCCGTGCGGAACGCCCGCGCACGAGCGAGCGTCGATGACTTTATCACGCTCTGCATTATAGCCTGGGGTGTGTGTGTGCGTTGGCTGTGTGGTGCTGTGCGTATTTGGTGGTGGATGTGAATGTCAGCGCGACGGAAGGGACGATAACAGAGGCGGTACTGACAAGATGTGCGCTTTCAGGTTAAGGTGAGCCTGGGGTGTACTAGCTCGGTATTTGCGCGGGAGCTTGCACTTATCGCGTGAATTCGGAGCTGGCGGGACACGGGGGAGGCGGTGGCGCCGGATATCATACCCAATCACAAAGCGCTAATTTTGCGAATAGAGTTGGACCTTAGGGCCGACTTAAGGCCGATAGCGGCCCTTTCCATGAAGAGTGGAGGAGGGATTAAGAGTATGAGTATGATATGGATGATGAAGTAGGAAATAAAATGCACAGTTGTAACTGACTTGATAAACACCTCAACCAGAACAGATATAATCCAGAGAAACTGAGCGAAAACAAGGTAGAGCAACGCGTTACATCCAATGCATAGTGACGACAATAGCCAAGGGACTTAATACCACCATATCCCCAAAAAGTTTCCAACAAACCGCACCCCGATCAACGGTTCAGCATATACTTATCATGTCTCCAGCCCCTACAGCTTTGCCCCCCACTTACGCACCTTCGCAGCCTCCGCCAGTGCTACCTCAACCACTACCTCCGGAAAGTCGCGCTGTATGGCGTGTGTAGCGCCAGCGACGACCATGGTGTTGATATGCGGGTAGGGCGCGGCAGTCTCCACTCTGAACCCGGGATGGAGGGCAGGGTCTGCGGCAAGGATTGTGACTTTAACGTGAGGGGGGACTTGGCCTAGGAGGTGCGTGAATGTCCACGGTCTATTTTGCTGCAGATAGAGAGAACTAAGGCGCGTGTATGGGTGGGAACGAGAGAGAACTTACGCGTAAGATGCCAGTGATAGCGTCGGCATCGCACAAATGGGCACTGAGGGCTTTCCAAACCGCATCTTCGTGGCTCCAGCGGGGGTTCTCAGCCTTGTAATACTGCACGCTCTTGACATTGATCACCTCGCCGACATACATAGGCTCATACTTATCAAGTGAGCGATCACTCTGCTCGAATGGGGGATCGATGAGGATGCACGGGATGGGGTGGGAAGAGGGGAAGAGGGGGATGAGTACGAGAGCGATGAGACCACCGAGGGAGTGGCCTATGACGAGATCGAAGCGCGTAGAGGCGAAGAGGGGCCGGAGGGCGTCGGCGAAAGCAGAGAGAGTATAGTCGGAGGAGCGGTTCGCAGTGCCGTGGCCGGGAAGATCAGGGGCAGTGACGAGGTAGCCTGGTAAGATGAGCACAGAGCACGGAGATTGGATAGACGTGGGACGGACCTTGACCTGCAAGAGACTTTGCGACGCGGTGCCAGGTCTGAGAGGCAGAGGAGACGCCGTGTATGAGGAGGGCGCGTTTGCCTGCGGAGGGCTCGCCCCAGGATGAGAGAGACATGAAGGCCATTTGGATTGTTACCTTTGTTGCGTTCGTTGTGAGATATCATGCTTAGTATATAAGCCTACTGGTAGTCCAGCTGAGTCCTATCTAGTCGCACTTAGTTTCGGGGAATAGTCCAATAATTAGGTTATAAACTCACGATTCAATGGTTAAATCCGCATTGTGCGTAGTCCAGCATACTAGTAGGCCATCTGCCTGAAAAAAAAGGCCAGAAGACATTCGGACAATAAGTTTTAAGGGCATGGATGGCATCCAAGTGAAAAAATGGTCTACTAGTAAGATGAATGTTTGTTCTAAAAACTAGAATGGGCTTAGCTCAAAAACGCCATCTAAGATCTGGTACGTACGCGATACCCATGGCCACCGCGACTCCCGCTGTACGTCTATCCGTCGCCTGCCTTAGAAAACCAACTGGGTAACCTATAATCATATTATCAGTTGCGCCTTGCCATCCAGATACTGATTACTCATATCGCATAATTGACCCACTTGAACACATTGTGAATATATCTGATAATCTTTCACAGCCTTCCTGTGTACATCAATCACCAAAACGACGTCAGGATCAAATTTCATGAAATGTTTTTTACTGCCGCAGTGTGATATGAAAACTCCATTCCACTTACGACTTGGTGTCATCATGATTTCAGGGTTCTTCGCCAACGTGTTATCTTGGGAGGGACGGTATAAAGAGTGGGATCCATACAATGCTTTCAGCTTCTTCGCCAGGTTTCTATGACGTTCCCAAGCCAAGCCTCGAACTATGCATTTATCGTGTTTAGTTTCATTGGATTCGTTTTGATCAGTATCCTGCTACCAATGCATATACGAGGTTCGTGTCGGAGCGCTACTTGATGTGCTTTGGTTCTGATCTTATCCGCAGTGAGGAATACTGGGACGTGCATGTACATAGTGTGGACCAGCATAGTTTGTCTTTTCACTGCCGTGAACGCAGTCATATGGAATCGTAACTATGTAAACTGGTCACCAGTTTGGTGTGATATATGTGAGTGGTTGGACTCGAGGTTTGAGCACTGGTGCTGAACATCATTTCCGATTATCACTATCGTAGCATCCCGTGTCATCATGGCCGCAGGCTGGGGAAACGAAGTGGCTTTACTGTGTATTGTCCGCCGCTTGTATCGCATTATCACAATGAAGGCTGTGAAACAGAGTTTTCATGAGGTAGCCATGTCAGTTTCTCTTGGCGACTAAATAAATCTCATAACAGTCATCCAGGCTCGACGTGACCTGATCGTGGATTTGTGTATTGGCGTTGGCATTCCCGTACTGCTTCTATCACTACGTATGTTGAGTTTCCATACTATTTATTTTACCTTTAACTAACTCATGTCTTGCTCGGACGGAAGAGTACATTGTTGAATTCAGTGATTTCGAGATCCTTGAAGACATAGGATGCTTTCCCGCCGTAATTTTGACAGCTCCAGCTATCCCAATCTTTATCATGTGGCCCGCTGTCTTTGGACTAGTGACTGCCATTTATGCTGGTTCGCTCCCTCGAGGCGCTTGAACATTGCAGAATGCTGATGATTATTTATAGGCCTTACCATCTATGCTACGATCAAACAAAAAGCATATAGAAAAGAAGTCTTGGAAAGCCATCAAGCCTTGCAATTCGGTCATTACTGGCGCCTTCTAGCTCTTACCGGTATCGGCATCATATGTACCCTCCCATATGGAATACTGTCCCTCGTTGCCAATCTTGTTGGTGGACCTCTTCAGCCTTTCAATTGGGATGTTTTTCATGCTGGCTTTTCTGAGGTGTCACAGACTCCCGCATCCCTTTGGGCAAGCGACCCTCTAGGCGAATATGGCTTGGAGATTAATCGTTGGTCACCCGTGTTCAATGCTCTCATGTTCTTTGCCTTTTTCGGGTTTACGAAGGATGCTAGAGCAGATTATCGTCATGCTTGGTTTTTCATCATTCATCCCCTAAGCTTCTGTTCGTCAGATACGGATGATAAGACTTCCAGGTTTGTGGCACGCTATAGCATTTTGCATTCTGACTATTGACTGCTCAATTTGGAAGAAAGCTATCTCTGCCTACTCATGTTGCCAGGCGCAAGCGCACCCCACACGCACCAGCCCAGTCTGAAACTTTCGTAGGCTCGCTTCGCTTCGTGCCCTATACCGAATCCAGCCAAGAAATGGCGTCCACCTCGCAATCATCGCGTTCCCGGCCCCCATCTCTCCCTTCCAGTCCGTCTTTGTCTGCCATGGAGCCATGGAGTAGTCAGGCGCACGAGTTGAATGATCATGACGGATCCTTTTCAGTCTCTGAGAGCAAAGGAGTTTTGGATATGGAGCAAACATGGGATGCACATGTTCTTACCCCGGGGTGGTGTGCTTCTGCGTCAGTCCCAGTTGTAACAGTACCAGCGCCTGTGTTAGAGGCCTCTGTAGTCTCACGTCGTCATGCCTCGGATTCAATAACACCTACTACCATCCAGGCACATCGACATCCGGCCTCGCCCTCCACCTAATTCATCGCATTGGCTAGGAGTACTGTAGCTGAAAAAAAAAACAGTTAAAGGGCTATGTGGCCCGACGGGTGAGTTTAATGACAGGCATGATTCATATATGACGGGTTTTGGAGGATTAGGAATTTAAGTCTGGGACTAATTTATTTGCCCAAATATTTCTATGCTAGAGAACAACCTATACCAGTATCAACCTTTCAAACATTAAAATACTTTACTACCAACCCTGTTCCAGGCGCTACGTTAACGAGTCAGCCCCTAAACAGACCATACTACAGGATTTATAACCTTAGGTTCGCACGGGTTTGACTTACAGTCGGTGACAGGAATGTTCCATTCATTGTCCTACTGCACTCATATGTATGAGCCTCTGAACAACCTGTATCCTATACCGTCGCCGACAGCTTGGAGTCTTTTTCTGGGTCAAGTTGTCTTTCAATAGGAACTTTGAAACGATCGTGGCTTATTATTCAGCGTGCGATTACTTCCGCAACGTGGTTAAAGTCTTTTAGTTATCAATCGTCCTAATCACACTTCTTTCAACTCATCTTTCACTTGCTCTGTATTCCAGGCTTTATCTTAGTGATCCGTTACGCCGAATCCAACTGGAATAAACGGCACCTACGATAGTAGAGCTGTGAGAACCTTGAGCGCTTGGGCGCAGGAATGTCATGGCCGTTTCCTGATCCCGTACTAGGAAGGTATGTTCGTGTTTGCTGCATCAACATGCGACACCCTGTCACCCTGATACTCTTGGACCAAAGATCCCCTCAGCCCATGATCTCCATAATCCTAAGCAACTTCACATTCTCGCATCCCTGACTCCTGTCTTCAGATCAATACGTTAGCAAGATTGATTGTGCGGTTTGACTTAATCAGATAAACATTTGGGACGGATGGGCCTGCGTTCGGGATCGCTGCTCTGTGACAAATGTTGGAGCACTGTCTTTACGTTTGGCTCATTCCAAACCGCATTGGCTGCGAAGGGTTCATCAGATCCATCCCGTGGCTATTCATACACCACGCAAACCTGGCAGGAGATTGAAGACGGCGAAAATAGAGGGTGTAACTGGTGCGATATTCTCTTTGGAGAAATCCCTGTTTGGTATCGTCACCGGAGAAAAAAGGAATGGCCAATGCCAGAGGAGACTTTTCAAGTGAATGTACGTTTTGAGAGTGTGGAAACTCAGCCGCATATGGTTATGAAAGTGGTAATCCAAAACGACTGGCCACCTGTATACCAAGTACACTGTGACCCTGGTGCGCATTTCCATTGTCACCGGTCGAGATCTGGTTTGGCAAGTTGCCTCACCTAGATCCTACAAACTAGCTTCTGAGTGCCTTGCTGAACGCACACTTCACTATTCCTGTCCAAAGCCCCAGCAAAGGAGTCTTCCAATTCGCGTGGTTGATTGTTCGGACCCGCAAAAACCCAAACTTCTTCTTGCTACAGGCCTCCGAGGCTTTTATGCAACATTAAGCTATGTATGGGGCGAGTCACAGCCACACAGCGTATGCACCGGGAACATAAACATGTATCTTGAGGAAATAGACATTCGTACACTTCCGCGAACCATCAAAGATGCTATAGAGTGTACTCACAAGCTCAATCTCCGCTATCTGTGGACAGATACGCTGTGCATTCTGCAAGGTTCGGCTGACGACAAGAGGAATGAGATCGCACGGATGTGCGACATATATCAGGATGCATATGTGACGATCATTGCTGCCAGCGCACAGAAGGTCAGCCAGGGCTTCTTGCAGGATCGCCCAGATCCAGTCACAACCGATTTACCCTTCTGGTGTCCCGACGGGAAGCTGGGCACCATCTCTGTCCGTGAAGGTGAAAGTGCACCGGGGATGGAGCCGGTGAACCAACGGGCTTGGTGTTTCCAAGAGCGTCTGCTCTCTCCTAGAGCACTAATATATGCCTCGCACACGCTTCAATATCAGTGCCAGGCCCGAATTGATAATATAGGAAACGCCTGCAACTACTTCCCTTTGAAAGAAACAGACGAACTGCGACTGCCAAATATGATGCTCACACGCACATATGCCGGATTGTTGTAGAAGGAGGACTCACGGACACTCCACAAAGCCTGGCGGAATATTCTATCCGATTACACGAGGCGAGCTCTTACAGATCCTTCAGACAAGTTGATCGCAATCTCAGGAATTGCTCAGCTTTTCCAGCGTTACTGGGGAGTTGGCAGTCGGTATATTGCTGGCTTATGGGAGCACAATCTTTCTGGACATCTCCTATGGTACAGAAGGTCTTCGTCAGGAAAGACCCTTCCTATCCCTAAAATATACAGAGCACCGTCGTGGTCCTGGGCAGCCACAAATGGCTGCATTAATGCTGGTCCCGAAATGAAAACTGACAATACTTTATGGGAGATCCGTATGTGCGAGGCAATCCCGACCATAGGAAGCCAATGTTTTGGACAGATCATTGGTGGGAAACTGGAAGTCGAAGCTATTGTGAAGAGTGTGGTCTGGGATCCAGAAGAGGCTGAGCTGTACGAGCTAAAGCAGCCGGAAATGAAGGGGAATCAGGCAGGCTTGAGAAAAGATGGTTCTCAACGACACGTTGGATATGTCTACTTAGACGGCTACCTCAACAGTGATTCAGAAGGTGCAGCAAACACGGGCTTTGCCATTGTCGTGGGCTCTAGCAATACAATTGGAGAGAGAGTCAAGCATCTCAGTGAGTTGCTAATTGTGCCAGCTGATCATACAGTAGGAGTTTTCCGCCGCGTTGGCATATTCAACGCCAACGGAACAGTCTATGATGATGATGATGATGATGCTCTTTTTTGTGATATAGATGCCTGGTTGAGCACGCCTAAGCAGGTTGTCACAATTACCTGACATCTGTAAACACGAAACGGACAGCGTACCACCAGTCTTCAAAGATCCTGCATGTTTTTTTTCTTCAGTCCCTTTCTACTTGTTAGTTACGAATACATTGGTCACGTCCGAAACCAAGTATTATATCTGAAGCTTTGGCGTCAAATTTGACTAGACATCATAGGTATAAAATTAAAGTGTTCAATGTTCATGAGCGTTTGTTCTCTGAGGTGTTCCCTTTGGATATATGGTGCTATTGGAACTTCATCCTTCCTCTAGCGTTAAGGGAGTGCTAAATTTCCAACAATTCTGACATTGATGAAAAACATTGGTCCCATACTACAGCTCGAATTTCGCAGACCTCCACACCATCACAAAGACCAACACTAGGATTCTTCCTCCACTATACCATATTTGCGCTTGAACACTACATAGTCGATAGTAGTCGAGTAGGGCAGCGTATCATAACGTATTTTATAAGAATGCAGAAGCGGAAGGTATCATTGGAGACTTACCTTCACATATACAAAGCCAGCCTCAGAACACTCAGTAACTTATGCTTCTGAGACTTCATCGAGTACTAGTGGTGTGTTTATATGGTTAGAACAGTGGACAAGGAAAGGTATCAATGAAAACCTACCTTCTTTGAACCCATAATAGAGTTCTCGGCGAGCAGGAACACCAGAGTCTCGTTTGACGGCTTCCAGTTCAGGAACTTTGAGCAACGCAACGATGGGAGTCAGTAAGGAAGATTGTATTTCTGCGCCACTACCAATGACCTACGTTCCTTGACATCATAGATAATTTCTCGAAGTGCAAGGGCACCGGAGTCACGACCATGATTGCCTTGGTTGGGGAGTAGACGTCAATTATGAGCAAATACTAGTAGGCTACTTAGCCAAACCAAATAGCCTTACTACTCTCTTTCGTCGGCAAAGCTCTCGTCGATTGCAAGAGAGACATGGCAAAAACAATGAACAAAGACGCAAACTTCATGATATAGAACTTGAAAGAATATCTCTGGGGGCAGCTGAAGAGGTCGGGGCACTGAGATGACAGACTTCAAGTTGCATGATGTGTCAGTGGGTTTTTATACTTTGCTGTGAGATTGCAAGGCTGTATGTGACTGGTATCACCGGGCTAAAAAAGATTGTAAGCTTCAGATATCGGAAATCTATGTGCCTACTCGGATTAATCGATTGGTCCGGTGTAAATGTAGTATGGGCGCAAGGCCATCGTAGAAGAAATTAAGTCAGCTCCGAATCAGTCAGGAAGCACTACTCACTTACCGTGTATTTCACTACCGTGCAGTAATTACCAATACAGCACCTTATAGGGGTCTTCACCAATGGGTCTCTAGTACCCAACGAGCTTCGGATAAGATGAACTACGATGTCCACGTCAGGCACCGAGATCAAAATAATGGTGAAGGATACTAATGGAACTTTGTTAGCCATGTTGTTAAGATTTTGACAAGGCTAAAAATATTCAAATGATATCCGCCTTTGAGCAGTTCTCAAGAAGCGGTGATGAACTGGAAACATCCGTTTTGATGACGAACTCGTGGTAGTGAGCCCGAAATCACCGCAATACCACTTTAACCGTGCTGTAGGGAAGGAAAAACCAGGATCCCTAATGTTTGTCGTGATCCACCCGAACACTTATTCAAGACTGAGGTGAATGTACCCACAGTGTCGTTGGAATAAGGGCCCGAGGTAGTTGACGAAATTCAAGTGAGGTTGCGAGAGATAACAAGCTGCTTAGGACGAAAGGAATGGCTCCCTCCTCTAGATCCGAAACCAATGCCGATGAGGTTTATGGTAGTCATCATGGAAGAGAGAATTGAGCACTGACGAGACTGCTGATCGTGTCAGTTGACTAGTCCAATGTCAATGGAAGGGCCAACAACGATGATGCCAACGACAACGATACTGCTTCTGGCGATACAGTTCCGGAGCGCATGGTTCAACGAGTGTGCGCGCTCACCGGCAAACTAGCTGTGTGTATAAATTGTCGCGAGCGTTTGATTGTCAAAGGGTTCTCTTGTTCAACTAGAACTACAAGTTTTCGAGTACCAGAAGGAGTGCTGAAATTGTAGCAATCCCCACAACATTTTAGAATGGAGCATTGGAGAGCTCTAAGTTGGAGAATACATAGTAAAAAAGGTCATAATTTCCAGTGTGGACGATGACTTGCCTGGTCCTGATTGCACAACAGTCTGACAAGATAGTAGGCTAGGCATGTAGTGAGATTGAGCAGTGGTAATTGACAGAATGCAATCCCACCTAGGTGATTGGTAGAAGTTAGACAAGGGATAATTTCTAGATGGGAGTGGACGCCACAGGACTACTGAGGCATCCAAGATAGGAGCTGGTTCTGCTGTTGTCTGTAGCAGCGCGAATAAGGAGCAGAGCGAACCAGCCCTTGACCAACGCTGCTCAGGGTAGCTCGGTTCTCAGCAACAGTAAATGACCCTCTGCTAGCGTTGCCAGCACGGGACGGGGGTTCCAACAAGGTTCCGACCAAGGTTCCGACTACTAATACGAGTAATACAGGTCGTGTGACTGCTAATCCGCTCTGCCTTGCCATCGTCCTCCATGTCCACCCTCTCTCGCTTGTATCTCTTTCTTTTCTTTCTGCCCATATCATTACTTCATGCTTTTGTTCCCCAATCACAACACATTCTTCACAGCGAACAAACCAGCGATGGCGGTATTTTGCGCCGATTCAGTCTCGTCGACTCGGACGACTCCGAGGTTGAGCGTGTGCTATGGTTTGCAGAGGTACACCTAGTTTACAGGTTATATGCGCTCAACAGTTAGGCTCACTGGACGTAATGCAATGTAGGATTATGGTATGGATGTCTGGCAAGTGACCCGTGACCACGTCGATGTGTATTTTCCCACTTCTACGACACCTATTCCCTCTTTTCTGTCGCCTTTTGTTCTCTCAGAGACAAATATATCGCATGTTTCATTTTCACAGACTCATGCAACCTCCCCTGGCTCTAAAAGCACAAATTGGGGTCTTCATTCCCTCGAAAATTCTTCGTATCATGACGATTACCACTTGGTAGATGAAATCGATGATTTCTTATACAACATCACTATCACATACCCCGACCTTGCTACACTCATCCCTGTCGGTCATACATTTGAACAGCGTGAGATGTATGCGCTCAAACTTTCACGATTCAAACCAAGTAATTGTGATGCGTGTGAAGAAGACTCGAATAATGCCTCGGAATTCTGTCAGTGTGGCAAGCAGTCCTCAAAGCCGGGAATCTTCATTATTGGTGCACAGCATGGTCGAGAAGTTCGTACTTCCTTAATTTTTGGCTTTTATAAACACACTAAACTCAACATTTGCACAGTGGATAGCTACGGCAACTTCATTGTATCTTGCTCACGCTCTAGTTGCGAATTACTCTGAACCGCGGTCCATTTCTCACCTCCTCGATACCTACGTAAGTAGAAAAATTAAGCTGATATAGCTTTTGCTGATATTTCTCAACTATGCGCAGGATTTTTATATCATCCCCTCCCCTAATCCTGATGGTTACCATTTTACGTGGCATGGGGACCGATTTTGGTACAAAAATCGTATGGCGAATGCCCCTGGCTCGAACTGTGTAGGTGTAGACATGAACCGGTGAGTGTCTTCTGAGCTAGATATTCTCTTCCGGACTGATATCATTTTTGGCGCTTGCTTCATAGTAACTGGGTACGTTCTTCTGTTCCTTGGCCCCTGTATATGTGCCATTCCGTTCATAGTTTGGCTGTTAGGGTTATAAATGGCGGCCATTTGCGGTCAGCCAATCAATCACAAAAAAGAAGAAACATATTGATCCATGTTCCCATTGGTATCCTGGCAGTCGTCCCTTTGAAGCACCAGAAGTGAACAACATTGCCAACTTCGTCACCACATTGCCTAATTTGCATGCATTCATTGACTTACGGAGTTATGGTCAAATGTGTAAGTATACTTTCACAGCCACGCTTCCTTCTTGCAAATACAATTGACTGGCCAACCGAAAACCCAACAGTATCAACTCCCTTCTCATATTCATGCAAAAAGTGGCCTAAAGATGCAGAAGACCAGCTTGAGGCTGCTGTGGGAGCTACCCATGCATTAAGAAAGCTATATGGGACGACGTTTCAAGTACCTTATCTAACATATATATGTGGCACGGCTGATGTATTCTCTAGACTGGGCCCCTCTGTGGCACATTGTACCGGTACGTAGCCATGCTTTATGTCTTTACCGAGTTCGCAATCGCTCTGACTCTCGATATTCAGTGCTCACGGTAATATCGTGGACTGGATGTACCGTAAAGTTGACGTAAAATACTCGTTCGCAGTTCATCTCAGAGATACAGGCACTGTGAGTGTCTTAGCTTATTTTCTTTCTTTCTGAAATTCAGACTCTTCTTTCGCCCATGCTCCACGGGCGGCTATCGTCTGTAGTACGGCTTTGACCTACCTTCCAAGTGGATCAGGCCAGTTGGTGAAGAAACAGCAGATATGCTTTCATATCTAGCTGCATTTATAGCGAAGAATGAACGTGAGTGTTCCTTGTTTGTTTTATTTGACTTCGTGTTCAGTGTTTCATTTGTATAGGGCTATGAAGAGGTGTTGGCTCATTATGCATTTATATTGTACTCATAGTGCTTTTCTCTTTTGGGTGTAATAGGTTGTAGTACTGTTCATTTTCTCCATGTATGCACTTCAGTCACTGTATAATATATTCATTGTTCTGGTATGAAACCTGATTTTCAGTAGGTGCCCAGTCATATTAGATGATCTCTAAAGATCTGCGTTTGCTAAGCTGCGAGCAAGTACAGCCCACTAAACCATACTGTGTTAGAGTTGCTATAGTTCCGGTTATTGTCGGGTGACTTTTGTGATTGCCAGGGGGGCATATGTGGACATGTCTTGAGCTCCAAACCATTATAATTTGCGACGTTTTCCGACACCCCCTTGGTCATACGATGCACTTTTCCGCTTCACACTCTCCACCAGGCTCTTTAGGCTTTGACCTGTAGCTTCTTTTGACGACCTTTCTCGTTCCACACCGCCCTCGCCTCGCCTATCCTTCTGCCTCTTTAGTCGTTCGCCTATTAGAGCAGCCATACTCTTTGTTTTCTTGAAACTGGGGTTACATGGCTGCATTAGCAAGGTCAAGAGTTAAAGTTATTAGTGCACGCACTGAGGATTGCTCGGATCAATAGCAAACTGATGATCTTCATGGACAGCCTGAAACCGATCGTCCTTGACATCGATCGCGAAGTCTGCCTGAATTTCTTGATCATCTTCCTCGTCTTTCTTGCCTTTCTTCTTGCCTTTCCCTTTCTTCTTTTCGGATTTGAGCACGGACTTCATATCGAAATGGGCTGTTTCACCGCCAGGCTTATCGGAGGCAACAAGTAAGGCCAATTCTTCTGCTGTTGACTCGAGTGGTGGCGTTTTCTCCTGCTTTTTCTTATCTCCCCATGTACCTTCGTCGTCTTCACTCCCAGCATCGAAGAAATTGTCGTCAGCAACTCCTTTCTTCCTTGTCCCCGTCTCCCTTTTCTCTTCCTTATCTGACTTTTTCTCTTCCTTCCTCTTCTTTCTCTTGTCTTTCATTTTTCGCTGATACTTCTCCAGCGTCGTCTCATCCTGGTCCTTACTTTTTGTATCGCTCAAACCAGGCGTGAACATGATCTCCATATCCATATCCCCGGGCTCGTCTTCTTCCCGTCCCCAGCCTTCTGGTAGTTCACCATCGTCACTGTCAAGTAAGAGAGCTCTCAGCTTATCGCGCTCTGCCTTTTTCTCTTTCCCTTTCACTTTCCGCGTTTCTTTCGTAGGTGCTGCCGATTCTGATTCTGATCCAGACGATGAGGATGCTATGTATGCTCTAAAGTCAGCTTCTTCTATTTCTTGCCGAGTGAGATTGCGTCGCGTGATCTGCGTCCGCTCTGGATCGTCTTCGTCCCATGTTAGCTTGACTTTGGAGTGTCGAAGGGCCTGAGTGATGAAATCAAGACAACGGCATTCATATCAATATGGTCAGCATATCAGTAGTAAACCAATACTTACATCTGTAACAAATTCTACAGCTTTGTATGGCATGGATGATTCACTGGTAGCCTCGTCTCTGAATGTCGCATAGAGTAAGCGAGGCTCTTGGTGAGGATAGAAGTAGCGACTTACCGATACTCGGTATCGAAAGCCATGTCGTCGGGAACGAAACTTAGATCAAAAACATTTGCTGACCGTTCGAGTTCTGTACCTTCCAGTTCTGAATATATATGCGAAGCTGCAGCTACAGTATCACACTCGACGATCGCATAATAATAGCTACACTTGGACATGCCTTAACACGCAGGATGTAGAATAAAGATATGGACTTACCGCAAACGCTCGAGCTGGTATTTTCGCAGAGCGTCTTCATCGTAATCGTCGCCGTCTCCTGTTTCATAGATCGTTTTTTCGTTCACGTCGTCCTCGTTTAAAGGCTTGGTTTTTTTGAAAACTTCTGCAGGGGGCCCTTCCCTTTCTTCACGGGCCATTCTCTCCTTCCCAAATTCACTTGGATATATCCGAACGCTGAGCACCTTCCCCCGTGCTACAGTAGTGGGCGAGGTCTTAATGGCCTTTTTGCGATCAGGGTGTATGTGTGACGAAGAAGGGGCAGTTGAAATAGGTGCGGTGGGCGAAACAAGGGACGAGAATATCTTGAATAAATGAGTTGCTCGGACATGATCCCAATCCAAGTTGACAACACCCAGTCGACGCGTCCGGGAAATATCATCAGCGTCATTGTCTTGAGAAGGCACTACCTCAGCATATGCGGCGGCTTGAGCGTCTAGGTCTGCTAAAACGTCCTCGTCCAAGTCAATGTCTGCGTCGTCATCGTCGAGTGAGGAGGGTTTGGAAGGATCAGCTCCAAGAGTTACAATCCCTTCAAAATCAGAGTCGTCTCCTGACGCTTGTCTATCTTCTTCCTCGTCAGACGATTCCATCAAGATTCCTCCTCTGGCATAGTCTGGCGCGGAAGGAGCTCCGACACCCCCTACTTCACCCTCTTCTTCGTTTTCGAGTCTGTAGAAACGGCGCAGATTATCGCTTTCATGGGTATTAGATACCTTACGTCCATACTTGTCCACGCGACCTAAAACAATCGTTGTAGCCTGACTGTGAATTGGTTCTACATTAGAGCATCAGAGTGGTTACGCACCTTTCTTTCCTTTTTTTGTCCCCGCCTTTCCGTCCTCGAACACTTCTTTGAAACGCTCATCAACGACCACTTTCGATTGCTGTTTTTTAGGACGACGGAAACGAGGATCTGCTTTGAGTCGGGCAAAGCGTGGATCAGACATAGCTATCAGTTTTTCTTGAAGAACCGTCAAACTTTCCGTTCAAGTTTATTTAGTGAATCACCAACAGCCTTACTCGGAGTCGGAGTAACCCGATCGGATTCAAAATCCCGCTATTCACTACGAGCAATTGCCAAAATAGCAAGTTGCAACAGTCTAACACCAGAGATGCAAATGGAAAACTTTCACCGGTGTGCTCCAAGATTGAACAAAGAATCAAAAGGTAAAAATATACATGTTTGGTCTTTATCTATTCTTCACTGCTAGTCTTTGTGGGATTGCATTTCCCTGTCGCACAAAGGGAAAGATAAGTGGCAGCTCTGGAACAGCCAAAATTATCTGCAACAGTCAAAGAATAGGCTTACTGTGATTATGATGTTACGGTCATATCCTAGAACGGGATGGTTTGGCTCATCCCATAAAGGAATAGTTATGCGATATTAGACCCATTGTTTACCTTTTCACTCCCAATTATGGTCCGGAGCATAGCCATAGTAGGCTTTCAGTCAGCGCTGTGCTTTTGGTATGTCGCACCAAGTGATTTCGGCGAATGCTCGTAGTGATTGTAAGTATAAACCACTTAACCAAGACATCATTTTCTGGCTACGAATGTTGAGAGTAAGAACACGTCACAACAACACAAGATACATATCCAAAGTTAGAATACAAGCATAAGACAACTCTCAAAGAGATTCTTGTCATAAAACGGCAAGGCCAGCTCCCTTATCATGGCTCTACTAATGGCGACATAAGTACGAACAGACAACAGAAAATATGGCAGAGCAATACGACGGCAGGAACCAGGATTTGTAAAGCAAATTTTAAGACAGCTAAAGATGAAGGTATCGCAGATGACGACGTTGTGGACTTTCAGTTTGAACTCTTGATAAATTCCAAGGCCAACTTGGGGCTGTAGCAGAGTTAATATATTGAAATTAGATTCGTGAATTGGCCAGATCAGCGCTAATGCTCACCTATCGACTGGTTTAACCGGCATTTTCTTATCGACAAGCTTCCCGCCTTTTTCGAAAATAAAATGACTGCGCTTCGTCTTGTTACCGTCTCCGGCACCAAGAGCAGTGATGAGCATCCTCTTTGGATCGGACAAAAGTTGATATGGGAGCTCTTTCTGTGATAATGGTGTTAAAATCAAATTAACAGAATAGCACAGCACACTAGCCTTGGACTGCCATTTACTCTGAGCGGCCGATGTATCCGCACTCAAACAGTAAACGTCAAAATTCAGCGCACCAAATTCTCCCCAAATATCTCGGAATCCGCAAGCTTGTTGAGTACATCCAGCTAGCCAGATGGTGTGCATTCCCGTCAAAATAGATCGCTTCCCAAGTCTAGTAGAAGTTCCTCACGTGTATCGGCTTTGGGGACCAAGAAAAGTACGACACCCTTCTCTGACGCGATAGATGTCACGTCTACGTCCTCATCCTTTTCGTTTTTGAGGGTAAGAGAAGGTAGAGAATCGCCTATATTGATCTGAGCGATGTCTGGAGTGGCCGCAGTCTCTGCCGTTGAGTTCTGCCCTTGATTGGCATCGGAAGAGTCCCCTGCATCTGCTTTTGCCTTTTGGGAGAGATGCGATTAGTCACAGAGAGTTGGGCGATAGGTTGAGATAACAGCACACCTACTTTTTTATTCGCATCGTCACTTCCTTGGTCCTCCGCTCCTCTTTTGGTTCCCGTTTTCACCGTTCTCTTCTTCTTTTCAGGAACAACCTTAGATTCTGACTTTGGCTTGGAGGAAATCCTCGAGGAGCGTCTTGGGGCTGGAGCTTCCATATCTTCTGTACTTTAGATAATCTGGTGGGATAAATTACACAACTTCGACGAGACCTGACATTATTATTTTTTCTTTAAATACGAAAATGCGCTACGTACCACGTTATCGTTGGATTAAGTCAAGTATCAGCAAAATGACCCAGCAGAGGGTTTTCGAACCTTAACATTTGCGGGGGCTGGTTTGGTAAATAGTCAAGGTTCATCACGTGGCCTGCGAACTGACCGCGGAGTTTAAGTGATCATACATACCAATTCTGTGATGCCTTCCAGCGATGCTTGGTGGTGGAAATGGCGGGGAGGCTAAGACTTGGGCTAGGACGGAACTGAAATCAAATCGAGGTGCTTAGATGGCCGTGCTAGAGGCAATACTCATTGCGTGGGTATGTATGCAGCCTCAAATGTTGAAATACCTCAAGTGAGGCAGTATTTGCAGTAATATTATCAGGGCACAAGCTCTAAGTAAAGTACACCATGACGCACAAGAAGAAATGTTAGGCACGATGGCAACTAATCAAACCAAAAGACCATGGAAAAGCCATCCCCACCGGCATGACCCTCCTGCGTGCTCACGTCCATATGCATTTAGTAGCGATGTAAAGCAAGAATTTGCTTATGACAGGGTTCCTGGAGAATGGTGAGAAAAGGTCCAATAGCAGGGCCGCTGAATACGCACCGAGTCTAAACGATCAAAGGGCCTCATCCTTGGTAGAAGGAAATGTTCAGCTTCTCGGTGGGAATGGTCTCGTGGTAGGAGACAAAGGCGAGGTTGGACTCTTGCTCGCGGAGACGGGGGATAGAAGCGTGGAGGGTGACTGCAAGTCACCTGTCTGTCCCATGGCCGATGAAGACCGCGAACGGGAGATATAGGGGCGAGGAGGAGGCTTCGTTGGTTCTTCCGGCGGAGGAGAAGCCGATGTGACTTCTTCACCGGGAGGAATAATACTAGGAATTTCTGCCCCAAATTCATCAATGAAGCCGCGCGGTGGAGGGCGTTCAACCATGGCATCAAGGAGCTGTCAAAGACCGGTTATGACTCAGTCTCTATTACTACATCTCAGATAGCTTACCTCCCGTCGTAACTCGTCTCCAGCAAATTCTCCTTCCATTTCTTCGGGACCAAGGAGTACATTTCCTCTACGGAAAACTTCGCCTTCCTCTTCCACCCAGCTTCTTGACCTGAACAAACAGATATCAGTCAAATTATTCATTCAAAAGTCAATGCACAAATAGGCTGTATCTATAAACCTCACCTATCAGTGGGAGATGGCATGCCAATATTTCCGAGCTCTTCGAGAAATCTGTGGCCGTCTTCATCATCTTCATCCTCCTCAGATATCATGAAAGTGGGACTCAACACTTTCTCGGGTTCTTCAGGTTCAGGCTCTGCTCGCGCCTTACCTTTATCTACTCTCGGTGTCAAAGGCTCGGCGTTTATATCATGTGTCTGCTCCACTGGGCTATCATGCAAGGCATCAGCATTCTTAGCCTCCCCATTAACCGCATGACCATTGGTATCGACAGAAAGTAACCCCAAGCCTCGCAAAAGCGACTTCGGCGGCGATGTTAGCTGAGTGAGAGATGTGTTGATACTGTCACAAAGGCCTAGCATCTCTTCGAGACGAACACCATCCGTTATCGTTTGCACTTGAGATGACATTTCTGCTACAACAGCTCTAGCTCTGGCTGTAATTTCTGCATGAGGTTCTTCGGTAGTCGTTGGCGTTGATAAACCAGACGAGGCTGCAGAGCTCGACTTAGACTGAGATAGTAAAGTCTTTAGCTCGTCTAGAATGGCTTGTGCACGTAAAGAAACATCAGGTTCGCCCTATTTACAGTAAATTGGTGTTAAGATGACTGAGACAAACACTATTGAATATTCATACCTTCGTCCCATCGCCTTGGCGGATGGATTTTGCGAGCTCGCTCTCCTCTATCATTCCCCATACGCCTTTCCCCAGTCCCCGTCCGCTGGGGCTAGGGCTAGAACCATGAGGAGCATGGACATTCCTTTCTGCGTCCTCTGTGTTACGTACACAAGAGTTCAAGATATCACGACACATCCTACAGGACGATAGTACCAGAATTCAATTAGTCATTATACGAGTTTCAAGGCGCGATACGTGGCTTGGGATGGACTATTTACCTTGCAAACTCCTCGTCTCCTGGAGGAATATTAAGATCAAGACACCGCATCACGTGATTGGCCTTGAGACCGGAGCTAAGAGCCATTACGCCAGCGATGTCGAGATTATTGACCGTTAGATCAAGGTGAAGGAGGGACATTGACTCTGGTAGGAATTCGGCGAGAGCGATAGCACCTGGAGAAGTCAGCTGAGTGGAAGCAAGGAATAATCGTTTCAACGCCGTATTCAACGTGAATGCAGTCCTTAGTGATTGTATCTTGTGTGTAATATTAGAATTGTCGTATGATAGAATATAGAGATCGCTTACCCCTTCCAGCGCAGGACCTGAGCATGGGTTCCGGCTTAGATCCAAGGTTTCAAGCGAAAGGTTATATTTCTAAGAATAATGGTAGTTATATCCCCTACTCATTGCGAGTTTCTCAGTGGACTTACCAGCGCTTCGGCAATACAAATCAGACACTGAACATCCAGCTTATTCTCACTCAAATTCAGCACTTTCAGAGTCCTGTTACGTTTAAGCACTTGAGCTATGTAGGAGATTCCACCCTAATCACGTCGGAAGCCATCAGCATCCACATAGATTGCACGAATGATGACTTACTCGAAGATCGTTTCCTCTCAAGTCTAACGTCCGCAGCGCACCTAGTCGAGGTAGGTTATCAAGTGCACGCACTTTATCTAACAACGCAGCGCTGGGGCCATGATCGTGTCGAGCTCCAGCTCCGTGTAGATTCCCATCCACACCATGGTTTACAGGATGGCGTGTCGTCACTCCTCCTTGCGAGTTCGACGTGATAATTGGCACAGGTTGCCCGGATGCCGAAAGTGGGTTTGGTCCCACATTCACAGCTCCACCGCGACGTCGGGGTATATATGGTGTGTACGTCGTTTGTGGGCTTGTGGAAGCTGGATGCCGTGGGGGTGGAAGTGTACGGGCTGCTGGAGAGAGTATAGGTGGCATCAGATTTCGGGTCGGAGACATCGGTGATGGTGGGGGAGAAGAAAAGTTGGACGAAACTCCGGATAAAGGGAAAGTTGGCGTCGCAGGCGTCGTGGGAACGGTATCTGGATAGTCTCTGATCATGATAGCAAGTGCGACCGCTCCAGTCACGTTGATTTTGTTGTGCCTGAGCGATATGTTCCGGAGAGACGATGTCCTCACTGAACGTGCTATGACAGATAGTCAGATGACTTGTAAAAGGAAATGCGTGACCTCGCTAACCTAGTGCCTCGAGCGCGGCAGGTCGTAATGAGCAATCATCGAGGCGGAGCGAAACTAGTCCAGGGTCCGGGGCAGTAGTCAGAGACGCGGTCACGTACTCAACTGATTTCTTATCCAGTACGTTTTGCGAGAGGTCCAAGAACTGCAAGCTTTTAGCCTGTACCAGCCCATTCAGTGGAAATATTCTTCGACTAAGATGGAAAGGAGACCAATCATACCTTGGAAACATAAGCACCAATGATCCTGAAGGCTGGTGCTTTCAGACGTTTATTAGAGGCTACCGAAAGATAGGAGAGAGTTGCTGGGATGAGAACTGCATGAAGCATGAGCTTGAGCATCTGAGCAAGAAGTCAGTACACGTTCATCAGCACAAATATATAAGGTAGCGAACATGCTCATCTAAATTACATTCCTTCAGGATAAGCTTTCGCAAGCCCCATTCTATAGCGAAGACATCGGACAGGATGGCTGCAGAAGTTAAAGTGAGCTGCACGCCAGAGAGGTCAACTGATCGAGGCTTGGAGCCCGCTGCACGCTGTATATTATAGATTACAGGGAAGTGGCTGATGGAAGAGACAAGTGAACTACGAACCTTGAGTGCTGCAGAAATAGCTGGGTCAGGTTCCTCCTCCCTCGAAGCACAGCACTCCCTATAGAACGATTCCACCTTGTCGAGATTCCACCACTCTTCAGTCTCATTGGGTCCGATGGAATTTCCTCTAACAATCCGCTTCCTCCTCTCAGCCTCCCGATCTTCGATTGCCTTTTTCTCATCCTTAAGAGTTGGTGTAGATGGAGGGTTTATGGATGATATGGGATATACTGTAGCAATCTGAGGCAGGATGAAGTGTGCGCGCTTGAGAGGTTTGCTGTCATCGTTTATAGGCGACTGGTTTGGTAAAAAGCCCTTGATGCGTGTCAAAAAACCGGTCTGGGTTGGTGGTGGACGTTTGAGAATGGATTTCCCAGGTATCGGGATCGTGACTGCAGAAGAAGAGGGGGAACAAGAAGAGGCAGCCATGGGCTCAGACTATAGCATTGGCCGCAGTGAGCGAGGCTGCTTGAAATTGTGGCAAAGTTGCAACTTTGAACTTGAAATAGCCGTGTGACTTCGCTTGGGCAGAACAGCGACGACGGTGGTCGACAAGGTCCCTCTGACTTTTCTTTAATCCACTATTCTCTTCATATTGATGCATCAATCTTTCTTCTCGACTTCTCGTCAGCTTTGTGGCTTTTCTAGGGCTCTTGCGGTCTGGATTGCGCCCTTTCTCGCCTTACTTGATGGTCTCAGCGCCATTGGTCTGGGCGTTCTTCAGTCTCCACCTAACTACTAACAATATTCTATAGTCGGCGCAGTTGGGTGTTTGTTCCTCATACGTTGCAGACAGATTGATCAAAGGTATTTTCTTCGATGAGACTTTTGTATCTTTGCGACGGTCGTCCTTACACACAGACCCTCAACATAGGCCAATCCACGCATTCCTCTGAATGGTCAGATTTAAGCCTGCCTCTCGTTCGTAATGGAACTTTGAATGTTATAAGGTCTTCTACGCAGTCTGGTACAGATTGTGAGAGTCTAATATACTATCATTGTCCAGAATTCATTTGACGAAACGGAAAGTTGCGAAAAACAGTGCTGTCTGTACGTTATCTTCCACAGTGTGGGTCAAACGTCCATCAGGCGCTACCAGCCTTGAACTTCGATTATTGAACATTCTAAAAAGGACATTAGTCAGTCTGAGATGCAATTCCTATCTGACGAAACTTCATGCAGAACACAAACAACTGGAACTTCTGGTGGACCGGTTCATTTTCCCAAAATGAGCCTTTTTTTTGGTTACCAGGGCTCAGTAACCTGCCGGAACTTTCCTGGAAATCACACCCTTGATCGATAGTATCGATACATGGCGAAAGGTTAATGAATCAACTCACACAATTTTGCACACACCAGGTACAGCAATCGGAAGTCTGGTAGAATTCCAGTAGCTGATGTCTCCATGCTGGTAGATGATTGAAAATGTTCTGTTGCTTTATTTGATCTATAGTCGATTGTCTGATAATAAACACCTTACATGGATACATCGTCCCTTGATGGACAACACACCGTCACATTTTTTGTGCTGAGCGTCCAATGAGAATCTATTGCAAGATAACAAGGGTATCATGATCACAGTTGTACTATCATTTATGGGTCAGGATGAAGGCAGACGGAGTGGGGAGCTTGAGCAAGAAATAGAAGAGGTGATATCTTAATCCACACCTTAGAAGGCGTCCATGTAACCTTGGCATCTCTCCCGCAGTCTACTCCACCTACCACCGTTCCACCCTCGGATTCTCGCCCACCCATCGTGCGGCGCAACCTTCTCCACCCAAATCAATACAGAGCACACGGCAAAATCAGCATATGTGACCTCATGCCCCATAGAGACAACTCCATCTCCATCTGTCCCCGAGTTCTTGTCCAGCACTCCCGCCAGAAAGTTGAACTGGTCTTGTACGGCCCGCCATGCCTGTTCGCGCTCAGGAGGGACAGACAGATAGCTCGGAGGTGGTAAGGGAGTATAGCTCCCGTGTCTAAAATGGGTTTGACTACGCTCGGGCAGGCGCTGGTGACTGAGGGGCACCATGATAGGCAACAGAGGCTTTACGAAAATATCTTGGATATAATGCACGAATAACGTTTGCAAAGCACGAGACCCTTCTGGGAAGATTTGGCGTGCTGGGTATGTCGACTCGAGGTATTCGGCGATGGTATGAGGGTTCGAGAGAACAACGGGCTGAGTCTGTGAGAACATTGGATCAAAGATGGCAGGGAGGGAGTAAACGGGGCGACCATCACTGCGGACAGATGTAGGCGGGGCCCCAATCGAGCGCAGAGTTTTCTCCACGTCGGGGAACTCGACCCAAGCAGTTCGATAGGGCAACCGCTTGTAGTTTAGTATGAGGCTATCGAGGGCCCGCGTTGCTTAGTATTCGACGCGAGCGGTCAAGTAGGGCGTACTCACCGTATCCTCCATATGTTAGGTGCCCAAGGCTGGGGTATATTGCTGGAAGGAACATCATAGAGTATAATCATTGGCTGAGACATTGGTGGTCAGGTTCTTGGTGGATAGAATGGGGGTTGATAGTTTGGTTTCGACTTTTAGATAAAATATACCATATGCACACGCTAGCTCATATTGGCCGATACTTAAAATATGGGTCGGTGCTTGATATCGTTTACGTCCTACTCTCTTGCGGAAGGGCGTGTTGATTGACCAGTTGACTCGGTTTACTACTCAAAACTGGACCTGCTTTGGAGCGTATAGATTTTAGCCGAACAAAGATGTCCATAGACGCTCGAGTTGATCCCACTTTGGCAAAGGCGACGATAAAAGGCCTGAAGCATTGAACGACCGCCATGTGAAAGGGCCCGAGGACTTGTATGACGCATCGAGTCAGATTTGATACACTCATCGACTCAAGGCGAGTCAAAGGAGCTTGATTTGTGTAAGCGTTGGGGCTCTCGTACAATTATACATCCTTCCTGTGCAATATTCCACAGAACATAGTTGAGTGGGAGGCTGTAACTTCCAGACTAAGATAGGTGAACTTATAGCATTACCTAATAAGGAAACACATTGCAACGAGCGCTAGCTAGGAACGCACAGCCTGCAAATTCATAACACTGCCTCACGCACTTCGTACGCGCTTGAAGGTATCTAAAAGCATAAGGAACAAACCCCAATTGTCATTAGTTGGGGCGCCAAAAGCAATTACGATAACGCTCTTACATGAAACAGTGCAATCGCCTTCGTCTAAGGCATTAGCCAGTGCGCATGGGAGGGACTTTGAGTGACTTTATCTCGGTGATTTCTTTTCGAGAGCACCTGTGAAATCATATATGGATATAAAAGAATCAGTCAATCTGTCGGCTCCGACTTTTGAGATGAGAGCTTTGTAGAAAAATAGCGAAAGAAGACAACTTACACGTCAAAGACGGAGGTTTGATTTCCCGTCCACTCTCTCCGAGTCCCAGCGTCAAAATCTGTCAATAGGGAGATTTTAGTTACATCACGGATATTTCGGGCTTTGAACAGATGAAATCACAGACTGATATTGAACGGTATCCTAAACATAATACCCGTTTTCACAGTAGCAGCCGCTGCTGAACCGCGTACAAAAGGTGGGCACGATATTATCAAGAAACCTGTCACGTATCTTCTGTGTCGGGCTCTGTCAATTTATTGGGAAGCAAGGTCCCGAAAAACCACTTCGACACGAAAGCGTAGTGACTAGGCACAGCCTGAGATATCCGCGAGTCAAGATGATCATATCATGCATCAGTCCTGACGAAGCGTGGATAAGGGAATCACCGAATTGGACAGAAAACGTACTCGCCAAGAACAAAACTGCGAGCTGATGTCGATATGCGGTGACCGAAGGCAATGATTGTGCGGCGACTTGATATCGGGGGCTCAAGAAGGGGGAGGTTGCCGGTAGAACACGGACTTGGGTGGTAACGATCATCACGAGACTGCGCGAGATGGACTCTATAGAAAGGGTTATCTACGAGTTATGCACTGATATGAGAGCTTTATGATTGCCAAACTAGAGACGATTCAGCTTTGAACCCATGGATTGGATATGTTCTAGACCTTTTCGCTTGAAAATAGCCAGTATTGACATTCCCGTAGAAACACGATACTGCCAGAAACCTCTGAAGACGGCATGATAGCATGATAGCGGCAGAAGATAGCCAATAGACACGTTGCACGTGAACTGTTCTCGTATAGATAGCCTGATGGAAAATATAAGTCAGCCTAACTCACATCGTACAATTCACTGAAATCTAGAACTTCAACATTCAGAAGCGACATTTGCATTTGCTAGTCACCGCCAACTAGAATCTGGTTGTCCTTCAAGTTAGTATATTGCAGTGTACGTACTTTGCGGGAGAAAATCGAAGAAAACGGATGTACATGATAGATGGCCCAGATCAGAAATACTTGAGTTAACATTGCCGGTCACCTGTTAGTTTTGCTGCTACAGTACTTGAGTACTTCAAGTTGTAGCTGAGTTCAGGATACTAAAAGTAGTGTGCAGCATAACCCTAACCCTCAACTCGTACACGTGATAAATGTGATGTCGAGAACTTGATAGCCGGACCGCCGGCCAGCATCTTTAGTTCGACATTCCGAGTCTGATTTTTGACTCAGAACTGAGACTGGAAAAACCACACAAATCTCCAACCACTGGCATTGCCTTTTGGGAAAGGTGGTATCCGCCATATAGTAAAAGGTGAAATGGCGCAGCAAGCGGAGAGTTCACTTCATCGGGCGTCAATAGGTATCGATATGTCGGCCAAGGACCGGCGGGAGAAGCGGGAGGACACTCAAACGCAACACACCAAGGCCTTCTTAGATTTTCTTCCACCATGGGTTCTTCTTAACCTTCGAAATCCCAAATCATGGAAGTTGTTCTTGAGGTCTTGGGTCGGGTCATGGGCAGCCTTGATCCTTTTCTTGCCAGATAAATCTTTGGGAGTACTTGGAAACACGTATGTCGAAAACCTGAAATAACGCTTTACCTTCTCTTTTCTGACTACTGGGGTATGCAAAGGGCTTTCTTTACGTTGTTGTCAAGTATATTTTTGCCAGCTTATCTTCCTATCCAGATGTTTTTCATTGTAAGTACTCGTTCCGAATGCTAACTATATTCTGATCATTCACATTAGCTCGTATCTACTCTGGTAATTGGCATTATGCTTGGATGGGGAATTGGAGCGGCGGCCATGCGCGCTGCACTAGCATCTCGCAGTCAAGTATTACTGATGAGTACTTTAGAGAAAGTACAGTCCAGGTATGTCACCGACCCTATCCCACAAATGTTACCCAGAGAACAATCCCTCTTCTTCAGTGCGGCTGGACTGGCGGACCCAGAAGCATTGTTTACAGCGGATATATTCCAGGGGATGTTCTTAGACGTTCGGTTTGTGATAATTTTGCGACAATGTTACAAGTGGTGTAGCCGATTTATCAGCTGATTCTTTGTAATTAAGGTCTTCCATCGTCTTTGGATGTTTTCTTGGTTTGGGTACATTTATATTTGCTCTCGTCCGAGCCTATGCCCCTGGTCTTACTATGATGAGTGTTTTCGGCACGATTGCTCTGGATATATACTGCGTAAGCTTTTCGCCTTGTCACCACAACGACTGACAGAATTATCCGTTTTCAAAAGACTTTTGGCCCTCTATTTCCCACAGGGGAATACAATATCCTCAATTCATTACTGACCTCTGTGGCATCCTACGTTGCTATTGCGGTGGTGGTATCTGTTCTCATCTTCCCTGAAACATCAAATCACTCTTGTTTGTCCGGTATATGCGCCCAACTAGACAAGTTGCAAGGTCTCCTCGAAATCCAATCTGATGTTTTAAATTCTACCCCAGAAGACCTATCCCCTGACAAAGCTCTTCTGAAACGTATCCTTGCTCTAAGGGCAGCAGTTATTGGGGGTCAACAACAATGTAAGCCTCCACACTGTGGTTTCTGAAATGATTTATCGATTGCTTCTTAGTGACGGCAAAGTCAAAGTATATCTCCAGTGAAGTCAGCTGGGGTAAATGGAGCGGAGACGATGTGAAAGGCTTGGAAGAGCCCCTCCTTGCTATAATGGTCCGCATCGGTCAGTGGCATCGTGGTATCTGGTGGTCACCCGTTGAAGTCTGGTATAGCTGGGCTCCAAAATTTTGCAAGACTTATGGGTAAACCACAACTTCCGCCTTGCCCTGAGTCAAATCACCCTAATCAAGATTCAATCACCACATCTTCCGTGTCGGTTACTAGAGAGATTGAACAGCCCCAGGGCGTCAACGATACTTATCTCCTTCGACACCTCGCTCAACAAAATCGTCTTGCGGAAGCGAACCACACCCTCGAAATACAACACATGCTCCCACTACTCAGGGATTCCACTTCTGATCTTCGTGAAGCCTGCGCACATGGATTGGTCAGTGTGAAAGAAACTCTCGACTTTATCAATAAATACCGGTGGCATCGTAATCCCAATTTAGACGGCGCATGTTCCAAAAGCCTGGACGATGCGATTGAACGTCTATCTGCTGTCCTCAGCGAATTCAAGGATTCGAAACGCATGATGCTGCTCCAACCATATTCGCCATTTTTGGGTAATACAGACCAAAAGCAAGAAATGCCTCTGCGGTCGTTATATCTTACATATGTATTCGCTGCAAATTTGATATCAGTGGCTCATGTCACATTGGAGTTTATGGAGAAAGTACGTGATAAAGTAACTGATAGGAGGAACAATAGGCTGTGGTTACCCAAGGGAGTGCGAGCTATTGGCAAGATATTTACAGCACGAGGGGATGAAGAGGACATCACTCTTGGAGAAGATCCTGCAGATGCTGATATCTTTACGGATGAAGACACAGCATATAGTGAGTTTAAGACTTGAGCCCTTGCTTTCTTCCGAACTGACACTCTGCTCTCTAAAGGGAAGGATCCTGATAGCAGGCCTCCGAACAATATGATACAGAAGACGATGAATTCTCTACATCTTCTCTACAAGTGGTCAGGGACGGCAGAAGCAAAGGTAAGTTTCACTGGTCTGCTTACCACTGAAATACATCAGAACTATTGAATTACTAGTTTACGATCAAGTACACTATTGTATCTGTTCTACTTTGGCTCCCAAGTGTATTTCATTCGAGTGCACGTACGTACTTCCCAGTTGGTTAAGCACAACGCATTGACAGTATTTTTTTTAGAGTTTTATTACGTCCAGAAAGGTGTCTGGTCTGTCAACCACGTAAATCATGTTCGATTTTAACCTCAACAAAACTTAAAGGGCTCTTATCATGGCTCAAACCACAATGAATATCTACGCTTCTGACCAGATATTCAAGTAAGTAGTCTGCTATTAGGGACCGTTGTCTATATAAACAGCTTATTCCTCTAAGCTATGTCATCCGTCTCGTGGGGACATTTGTTGGACTTTGTCTCGGCCTTGTGACCTGGTATATAGGTACGATAAAAGACTAGACCAAATGCCGTTTCAGACTCATGAAGCATTTTTCAAGGATCCGGGCGAGGAATTGGCAATCCTTATGGTGTGGCGGCGAGCTCCGCAGTATTTCTCATCCCTGTGGTTTGGCTACGGCTGTTTGCCCCTGCAAAGTACCTGCCAGGTGTACTGATTGGCGGTGTGCGTTTCTGGTTATTTTGTTTGACAGAGGTCTTAAAACTGATGGTGCCCTTTTTCTGACGTGACTTATTTCAAATTCTCGCATTTAGGCTACTTTTGCTCTCGTTGTTGGGTATTCATGGATTGACGGTCATCTGCAAACTGTTGGAAACCCCGGGATAGGTTGGTCTATTGCGTGGAGGCGCTGGGTGCTCGTTGTGATTGGTCAGTCTCTGATCAGCAGTGCGGACGGCTCTTTAACAGCTAATGTTTTACAGGAAGTGCTGCATCGTTCATCATGATGATGCTTCCGCCGACTTCCGGTCGCAAAGCCGTGCGTCTTCGAAACGCAGCAGTTATTTCCAAAATCAGCAACATGTATGCATTCCTCGTGTCGACCTGGATCGAAACAGAACATCGTGAAAAACCGTCACGCCGTGCGCATGCATCTGAGGCCTGGTTATCGGAATTCCGGTTAAGGCTAAAGGCTCTAGCTGAGCAAGTCCAGTCAGTCAGACAACTTACTGACATGGCGAAATGGGAAGGAAATATCCGTGGGGCTTGGCCGTTGAAAGAGTATAATGAGTTGGCAGATGCCGAGTCCGAAATGCTTAACGCTATAGCACAGGTAATGATATCAGATGAGTGAATAATTTGTGCTAACAGCTTAACACGCAGCTTGGTAGCGCAATCGCACACCTTGATGACGACTGGCGGATCAAATTCCTGCACAAAACAAAAGTTGTGCACCCCAATTTCGTGAGTAGCTCTGTTACATGTGTTGAGGGGCTGATGCGACGGCGATATGGCTGCATTCATTCCAGATCAGCGACGTCTTGACCAAATTCACGGTCGTGTCTCAGTCCCTACGTACTGGAGAAGCGATGCACCAAGTTCTCCCGCGCTCTCTATTGGATCGCTTGTTCTATCACAATAGGATTGCCAATATAGCCCATGTGGCTGGTGAGGATTCGGTTGACGTTGAGGCTTTAAGGTCCCTGGACTATGTATATTATGCATCCGGAATTGTCGCTGTGTCCCAGCTTCTCATGGTGAGTGCCTTTGCCTTGATGTCCCCTCGAGGTTGGATTTTGAGTTCTGGAACATGAAAGTCATTGGACGAAGTGCACAGCATTACGAAAAGGCTATGCGGAGAAGTGCCACTTCAAGGCTACGAACGCTGGAAAGAACAATATGAACAGACACACGTTCTGGCATAGCCCGGTAGGTGAGGACTGGGGATCGCAGTAGGCGCTTGTGCACAGACGCCCTGAGCTGTGCCGCTTGCCGGTGGCTCTGAGTGTTTTCTCAGGGATGTTCTGCATTCTCCGCCTGCTGTGCAACGAGCACCGTGTAACAAATGGGCGCTGTGGGGATCTAGGCTGGGTACATAAGTAATCAGTAAACTATACTCTAAATTATTTATCTGTGATTGTATGATCTTCGGTGCTATGGATAACCCTAACCTAGAAGCGCCCGAGGGGCACCTCGCCAGTTACGCGAGGAAACCATAACTGTCGAATATCGACATAGCAGTGACTCTTTTCCCAGTACCACTACGGTTCCCTTGCGGACCACCGAGGCTGCGTGCCGTCCACGACTTTCTAGCTGCTTCACTTATCTGCTCTTAGAATTTGTACCCTAATGTTGCCAGTGGCTTAATACCTCTCATATCACTTTGCTGCCACTTCCGAGTCCCCCAGCGTTTGCTCAGCCCTGCCATGTCCAATGACACCCAGAAGGCCAACCAAATAGCATTTAGGTTCTACACTAAGCTCGCTCTTGTCGTAAACCATGCCAGAGCCACCGTTGAGCCCAAGTATCAGGCCAAAGTCGACAAATGGGTACGTATCAGTCCAATGATCCCACAAAAACGCTAACCCCTCGCTCTCAGTTCAACCTTGAAACACCCGACTCAGACCTGTTCAAGGAACACCTTCGAATCTATCGTTCTGTTTCTGATTCCCCACCCCCTCCACCGCTCGAGGTTCAGGTTGTGTTGTCCATTCCAGAATTGACAAGTAATCAGGTTCTTGTCTATCTTGCTCCCGACTCTTCCCGCCTGCGAATCGAACCTACTCCTAGACATATCCTCCTCGAAACCTGGCTACTCACTTTCAATCCAACAGCCCAGATTCGTCATGAGGATGACAGAGGAGACGTCGCCCCCTCCACGATGTATAAACACGGCATACCACTTTTCCGCAGCCTCTACACTCTGCTCAGAATCCTGCCCGCTTGGAAGCTCTTCAAGAAATTACGCCGACGGACAGCTGGTTCGTATAGAAATGGTAACTTGACTATACAGCTACGTCTGAAAGGATCAAGTGATGGATCGGGTGATATCCTCGATTTCGGTAAGCCACGTTGTCAGCAACCCTAAAACATGCTGCTCACTATTATATACTTCAGACACACCTCCCGCCTTGAACTCGTCGACTCTTCCAAATGAAACACACGTCTTCCCTCCTATCCCTCATCCTATGGGCAACTTGACACTCTCTGCCAGATACTTGACTTCTCCGAATTTTCAGTTGGACGAATTGGAGTCTCTTCTATCTTCGCGCTTTTTGTCACTGGATGAAGGCCCGGAATTTACACCTACTCTGATTAAGAATCAACAGCGGGACTCCTTATCGGGCTTGCCCGGCAGCCTGCCCATCAGAACCTCTCTCCCAAAGTCACCACCTTCATCAATTGCTGATAGATTTGTTCTACCTCCCACTCATTCCCGCACTAATTCCCTATCAGGAGGGCAAAGTCCGCGCAACATTGCACTGCCTATGAGCCGGACGTCTACCGCTGGCCCATTAGCAGCTGGCTCGACCTCCGTGCTCTCAGTTGCTTCATCGCGTCAAGATTCTAGCTCGACTTGGTCGAAGGATGACGTCCGTCCATTGTCTGGCATTGCGGCCAGGGTAAGAAAGGAGAGCATGGGGACTGGACGAGGTGCTGTGAGTAACGTATGATATCTTGGTTGTATCTTTCTGCTGACCCCAAGTAGGATCTACCATCTGCACCAAGTCCCTTACCAATTCGCAGGCCAAACATCAATCCGATTCATCTATTTAAGACATCCACCCTTTCGTCCGGCTCTCCTTCTCTTCACTCGCCCTCGCCATCTTTGCGACAGCCATCACCTCTATCGGCTGGTGTGCCATCGCTTCCATCTAGACCAGCGCAGACTTCGCCGACCTCGTCACGTGTTCCACCGTCACCTATTGGCATGGGCAGTCGACCGTCTCCTCCATTCGCACCTTCCAGTTTGGGCGACAGACGCTCACTTGTATCTGCAGAGGGCGATGAGCCTTCGCCGAGGCTTCCTGCGCGAAAGCGTTACTCTAGTAGCTTCGGACATCGCTATGCTGCATCTGGTGGAGCTGGTAGTGAGGGGAGTGCTGGAAGCGGAGAACGGAGGGAAGGAGAACGTGTAGGCGTAAGTCACCATTGGAACCTTTACTATTTCACTAAACCACTGGCGTTCATCGTTGCTTCGTTTCACCAATAATATACTGCCTGCTAATCTATTCTTTGATTTAGGTTGCATCTTTCTTGGGTCCGAATACAGACGACGACGAAATCTCAATATTTGTACAAGACATCGATTCTCGAAAGCCACTCCAAGGAAGTCGTCGCCCACGAGCAGAACATGATCGAGACGGTACCCTGACGCAAACAGAGGGGGTGGTGAGAGAAAGCTCGGGCGCCAAAGCTTCGGAAGAACCCTCCACTGGACCTATGCTGACAAAGGAGGCAGAAGTTGATGAGCGCCTGCGACACATGAATGAGGTATTCTTAGCAAGCCTTGAAGGTTTCGGCAGGCCAAGAGAAAGAGGACGGGGGGTTGCCGGCGATAGCAGCTCGCGTGCAAGTGCAGAAGGAGATGTCGGGAGAGCTGATTCTGTGGAGAGGAGCAATGAGGCTTTAATTGGCCATGTCTCGGATGAGAGAATGACTTTTCCTGCTGGGAGGCCAAGGCTTGGATCTCTGCGTAGCATGAGCGCCAACGACGCTGGGTCAAGTACGGGTTCTGCTGAGGTTATGGGTCGGATGGACCTTGATGAAGAGATTCGCAGAGGAACAATGGATCGCTCATGAATCGCGGGCAAGTGGCCCACTCACAGGCTTACGGTAGTATAGCGATAAAGGGGAGTCCCATGCCTCATGTTTACTTAGGGTACAGCACTTGTGCCAGTGATTGGTTCAAGTTGAGGTAGTGACGGAAAATTTTCTGTCCATGTATTGCATCACATATGTTATTTTCGCGCATTTCCAGAGACCATCTGCTTTGTTTAGTTTATAATTTGTCTATATACATACCCTGAACATTGTTCTATTACGATATCTATAGCGTGTTCCGACTGATGGTTCAGAAAATGATGGACTGTACGTGAAGTACGTCTTTGAGCTTGAAGCTCAGGCTTGGCAAGGTCATCCACGCAGTAACAGTTAAATAGTGCAGCTGCTGATGCGTTACACTCGTAGCCAGCCAGAAATGCTCGTCGTGATGGTCGTGCACACTACGTAGAGGATAGCCTGAGGACACTGATATTCGGTCCAGATCAAGTTATAGGTATGGAATAGCAGAATATAGCAGGCTCGGGTCGCATGGTACGGCCAAATTATGGACACATGGTATGGACTGGTATGGATTAGCGTGCACATGCAGGAGCTGCCAGGTTGTCTGATGAGAGCACTGAACAATATGGCCTGGATGGTAAGGTTGAGCAAGATTGTCGTGTGTCTGGAGGTTGTCACCGGTAGAAGTTGCATTTCTGTAAATCAGTGTTCACACTTCAAGCTTCAAGTTTCGAGTTTCGAGTTAGAATGTTTGTATGATTCAACATAGGGTGTAAAACCATCCCGGCAGCTCTGAGTAGACATTCAGCAACGAATTCAAAAGTGGTGAACAGGGTAGCCTAGAAGACAGTTCGTTCTTCAGCACAGCATCGTACATCCAGAGAGTCCAAAATCAACACTCATACTGTAAGTGTTATGCTAAGTGTACAAATTTCAGAATACTTCGAACTGATGTAACAACTACAGCCTAATTCCAATGTTGACGTGAACAGCTTTGACATTTGTGTAGCTAGAGAAACGAGCCATCAGAATTATTCTTAGTAGATATGGCGAATACGAGACTAAAGACTTACTTTTCCAATGCATACTCGCTCAACTCGCGCCCGATTCCTGATTGTTTGAAGCCTCCAAAAGGTAGGGATATTTCAGTTTGGTTTGCACAATTGATCTGGACCAAGTTTATTAATGGGGACTACGAGTATAACGAGTAGTAACGCGATCTCACCCAAGCAGTCCCCGCCTCGAGGGCATGGGCGAATCGAATCGCTCTGTCTATATCCTTCGTGAAAACAGAAGCAGCTAGGCCGTAAGACGTATCATTCGCCTGCTCAATCGCCTCTAAATTGAGATTTTAGCATGTGATGATAATTAAGCGCAAAGTTCGCACCTTCTTCTGTCGTAAATTTCATGACACACGCTACTGGCCCAAATATTTCCTCTCGAACGATTTTCATGTTGGATGTACAATCAGTGAAAATCGTGGGTTGGATGAAGTATCCTTCTTCTCCAATTCGGTTTCCTCCAATGTGGACTGTTGCACCATCGCTCTTGCCCGAGCTGATGTAACCCATAATGCGCTACATTACAGTTAATGAGAATTGTTAACTGAGAAGCCAAAGATAAGCTTACCTCGAATTGTGTTTTGGATACTTGTGGGCCTTGGAATGTGGATGGGTCGAAAGGGTCACCAACTTTAAGAGCAAGCGCTTGTTCGGTGAATTGACGCAGGAACTCATCGTATATCCCGGCTTGGATGAAAATACGAGAACCAGCAGAACAGTTCTGCCCATGATTAAAGCTATGGTAGGTTCAGTTTTAAGAAATGAGTACATAGATTTTTTTTTAGAAAACCTACTATATTCCGTGAATAGCCCATTTGACAGCCTGATCAAGGTCTGCATCATCGAATATAACGTTCGGACTCTTTCCGCCAAGTTCAAGCGTGACAGGTTTGAGGTTACTTTTCGCAGCGGCTTCCATTATCTTTCTTCCAGTGAGCGTGCTTCCCGTAAAAGCAACTTTCTCGATGATCAAACTTTCGCTGATTGCCTGACCTGCTGTAGCACCATATCCATTCACGATATTGATTACACCTGGTGGGAAGCCCGCTTCGGCGATGAGAGTACAGAACAGGAGGGCAGAAAGTGGTGTAAGCTCGGACGGCTTGAGAACAATGGTGTTGCCAGTCGCGAGGGCTGGAGCGATCTTGAGAGAAAGAGAGAACACTAGTAGAACAATTTTAGCGTTGAACTAGGTGAACGAGTTCTATAGATAATCACTTGGTACATTCCATGGGATAATTTGTCCCTGAAATGACAAAATATAAATGAGCATTTGCAGCATTTGATTGAAGAAATATACACGTACCACAACGCCAATCGGCTCGTGTCTGGTATAGGCCATCTTATTTTCATTGGTCTATGATGAATGAATACATGTTTATGTCTGCGAAAGCTGCCACTTACCTCAATAGTTTTACCAGTGATTTTGTCGGCCCATCCAGCGTAATACTGCATGACTGATATGGCTCCCTTGAGATCACGCCCATAAGCAGTTTTAAAAGCCTTTCCTGTCACCGAAGGGCGTATTAGTCTCACTCTACTTGTGGCTCACAGATAAACAGTACTGAAACTCTTTTCAACGTCGGACTTACCATTTGTAAGCGCATCTAACGCAGCGAATTCTTCGATGTGCTTTTCCATCAGCTCTGCAAGTTTTGCCATCAACTTTCCGCGTTGAGCCCCTGGAACCTTGAGTCCCCAAGAAGTTTTAAAAGCTTTCTTTGCAGCACGTGCAGCGATATCGATGTCAGCTTTCGTTCCCGCAGCAATAGAGGTTACAATTTTCCCAGTCGCTTTTAACAAGCGGCTCTCATTCAGTGCCAGCTTCAAAGGGAAAAGCAATAACACTTACAAGGGTTGTGAACACTAACATAAAACCATGAGCATGAGCAGAGTTGAAGAGTAAATACCATGGCACTCACTCCAGAGTACCATTCTCTACGGGATCAACGAATTCCCCATTGATATAAAGGCCAAGAGGGACGGCGACAGTTCCTTTGTAAGCAGCAGTGTTGAAATGGTGAGTGAATGTCGATGGCATGCCTTTTGCAAAAAATCTCCTGATATTTTCTTATATGGTGTGACGAAGAATGATAGAGACCAAGGAAGTCCTGATTGACCATGGCTCAAGCTACTTATAGTGATCAAGCTGGGCTTGTACATTCGAGTTCCCATGCGAATTCTTTGTTCTCGACCGTATATATACATCGATATTGAATGACAGAGCTTGGGAAAATGAACCACCGTTATCTATGAGCGAGCTTGGTAAATTTGGATGTTATGCATGATACGATTATACTCACAAGTCACCTGCTCTGCAGACGTCAAATACTTCCACCACGCGCTGAGTTCCCCGTTCTATGCTAAGATCCGCTTCGCCGCAGGTCGCTATCAGACCTTCAAAAAGCCAGCGATGTTACGCATTGCGTGAATAAGTACGAATGGTCGCAAACATAGATGGCGTCGCTGAAGGCGAAAGGTTCCTGCTGTCGTGTCGGAGTCGAAAACCGCTAAGGCTGATACGCTTAACGTCGCCGTCTTCAAGTTGTGGCCCAGTCGCAAATACCTGTGAAGTCCACTCAAAGCTTCAGATTTTCTATTTCAAAGGGGCGATCTCGAGTCACGCTGCTTTGCAGTTCTGAGAACAACTGCTTATCTCTATTCGTTCTAACTTGATACATTCTTCTGTGCGGTAGTACCCTTCGAGCCTCAAAGTTGCAGTCAGTGGCAGGAGTAAGGACAACTTGAAGATCCCTTTCAAGCTGTGCCCGTAGTAACAAGAGGTTCAGTGCATCCAATCAATTCGTCGAATGATCCACGAACCGACGCCAGCCCCTGGAAAGTGGCACTGTATCAGCGAATACAAGAATCACTTCATTGTCTTCTTTCTTTCTTTCTTTCGCGTCTGCCTAGGACTCGGAGGAGCTATAAAATAAACTTTTTAATGGTGAAGATTGACGCTCATATCCTCGTTGAAACCTCGTTGCAACAGAACTTCATATTTACCCACAAGGGACCCACAATTTGACTGCGGCACTTGACTTCGTACTCATCGATACTATGGCCTCTATCCATCCTTCAAGCCGATGGGGCTTGAATATGAGTCTTTTTGATCGAAAACTCTTGATCTCAGACGATGCTCTCAAACATTCTGTAGAGACTTTCGAGGGTCTTCTGCACTACCATAGTGCCAGAGACTTAACCGATAAGTTACTCTCTGAGGCTCATCTGTTCGAACTAGTTGTTTCAGGCAAGCAAGCAAGTCCTTATCGTGTATATCTATTGAAAATTGTTTTCTGTTTTATAGCTCTGAGCGATGATGGCTATAAACTCCTATATCAGTGGATGAACGACCATTTTCCGTCCACTGCCAAAGGCTTTGTGGATTCTCTTCAAGCAAAGCTAATTTCACAGTTATCTCTTTCATTGCTATTCTTGGATTATCCCTCGGACGCTCCGTCCAATCTCGTTGACTGCCGTCAATCTGTGCAATTGACTCACCCAGTGCTTGACATAATGCCGCTTCTGACATTTACAGGAGATAACGTGGCATCCGAACGACAAGATGACGAGTTTGAAAATGTCGGTCTTGTCAAGTTCAACTTGAAACAGAAATCTCAACGCCACTTGAAAAATAATAAACGTGGCGCGCGCAAGCCCCCAATTGATGTGACTGTCTTTCAGAACTTAGACCTCGAAGTGCCAGACACTCGCGAAGAAGCCAATAATATGGTTTCTACGCTCCTTCTGGACCAACAGGGGGTCTTACAGGTTTTTCCTTTAGTTAATGTTCGAGACCCGCTGGTTGATCTCCTAGTATTCCACAGTATTATCTCGATATCCTTCGACGTCCTCAGATATGTGATACTCTTCACAAGATTTATGCTCCTTTGAGGTCGCGTACCACACTGCCCTCCGAGAATTTCAAAGGAAAGACACTTGCTGTAAACGATGCTCTTCAACAGAGCGAGGAACAACCTTCCGCGTATCCCATTGTTCAGCCAATGAAGGCTGCATTGTACTTCGATAGCGCGGCGGGCTTTGGGGAATGGCACGTGCTGATTTCCACTCGTGCTGACCGGAATCTACGAGAAACATGCCGAAAAGATAAAAAATCATTCAATATCATTGTGAAAAAAATAAAGTTCGTTTTATGCCTGTGCATAGAATCATGCTATCATTGACAAGATGTATGCACAGAGAGCTCTCCAATGGCCACTTTTCGGAGGATAATCAAAAGAGGCTAGCAGGTTCTGACAATGGCATACCGATTTTCGAAGCGAAAATGACTCGTGATTCACGTCTTGTGGTGCGTATTATACATACTTCTACGTGCCTTAATGAATGTCTCTCTAGTATCAAATTGATTGTGTCCCAGAGTATGATAGCGATGTAAGTCTTTCCTAGATGTCACATCCAATGCGGAATCTCACGATTCAACACAGGTCGAGAGGCAAGGTATGAACGTATCTATCTGGTTATCTCACTTGCGTTACCTCGATTCATAGTGATCCGGATCTTTGGCATATACACCCACGCACAACTGGATAATCGTCTATGGGACTCTATGTCGCATCAGCTAATGAAGCGAGGCAAAGAATATAAACATCGGTACCATTACAATGTTACCTGTTGTATTGTCGTACTCATTCTCCGTTCTTAGCTGTACTTTCCGTAACCGTCCTCGTCAAGTTGGTGATAATGTGATCATGCCTGCATCGTTCCCTCCCCAGGAGGCAGTTGAAGAAGTTGTGTCTGGTCTCGCTATTCCTATCCCGAGCGAGTACTTAGAGGAGGTGATTGTACTCAGTGTGTCGCTATGAATTACTAACTAATATAATTGTCCCGTTAGCTTCATTCCCTTTTAGTGTGCGTTTGTCGCGTATCTTCTACTACCAATTAATGACAAAGTGTGTTCTATTAGCCTAGAGAAATTCGTTACTTTATCACAGGTGCGTAATTTCAATGGTTGACTATATCCCCGATCTCATACTTCGATAGGCCCTTTTGATCAGTCTGTCATTTCGTATTTCCTTTAGCTTTCCTTTTTACGAGTGTGAATTTTAGGTATCTTTGCTGATCATGATGTAGCTCACGTTTTTTCCGTATCGTAAGTCATCACCACACTAATAGTTTCTTCCTGATGAGCCTACCGTATTTGCAGGCCGAAAGAGAAAGAAATCATAGAACACACGTCGTCATGTTTTGTTCTAGGACGAAGCGGAACCGGGTACGATGATTTTTCACGTGTTCTGTCATATAATGACACTGAGGTACAGGAAAACAACCACGATGTTGTTTAAGATGCTTGGTATTGAGCGGTCCTGGCAACTTCATTCTGGTTCAATGATAAAGCCCAGACAATTGTTTGTGACGCGCTCACGCGTTCTAGCGGGTCGCGTTGAAGAGTATTTTACAAAGCTTATGCAATCTTTAGCGTTGCAGGGAACATCAGCAAAGGAGCTAATGGAAATTGTAAAGAAGAAAGTTGGAGCCCAGCAAGCCAGCGAGCTAATGATAGATGTGGACGATGAGTCGGATTGGCGATCTGACCTACCGCGGCATTTTAGTCAACTTCAAGATGAGCACTTCCCGCTGTTCATTACTTTCGACCGAGTGGGTTTTCTTGCAATCACACGGGCTCTAGTATATGGAATATGACCTTGCACCTTTTCTAGCTTTGCATGCTCCTGGAAGCGGATGCAAGACTCTCGTACAAGCATACTAGCGATTCCCCTGGCCTGATAGAGGCTTGTTCTTCACCATCCCAGGATAATGATGACCGTTCTACGATTTCGTACGATACTTTCTTCGATGCATACTGGTGTCACTTTCCACAGTCTTTGATAAAGGGACTAGGTACGGGTTATTTCCCCCACCCCCCTCTAATTGTTCTCAGCAGAAGCATCTTGATGTTTTCACAGATCCGGCTTTAGTGTTTAGCGAATTCATGGGTACGAATAAGTGTCTAAATGTCGTACCATCATCTTCAATATTTGACCACGAATTAGGTGTCATCAAGGGTTCAGAAGAAGCGCTGTCTACTACGGAACGCTTTCTCGACCAGAAAACTTACGTTAAACTCAGTCACCGATCTCAATCGACTTTTTCTATGCACAGAGATGTCATATACAAATTGTTTGAACAGTACATGAAACGGAAGAAAGGGCGAGGAGATCAAGACATGGCTGACAAGTGATTTTCCCTTATCCTTTGCTCAATTGTGTCACTGATTTCGACCAATAAGGTCCCAAGCAATACTGGACTTTATCTCACGAGAAGGAGTGCCTGGAGAGCGAATTGACTTTTTGTGAGTGGTTGTTTGACTAGATGCCTTGAGAAGCTTATTTTATAACTTAAAACAGGTATGTCGACGAAGTACAGGACAACTTACTGATTGACATACCATGTATGCCCCCCAATAGATTTTTTGGTGAGCCAGCTCACCTATGAATACAGTATTGCGGGCATTGTGCAAAAACCCGGACGGCATGTTTTGGGCAGGAGATACGGCGCAGGCATGTTCTCTATCACTCATCATGTCGCACCAATACTCATGTGTTACACTTTCTCGATCACTATATTTAGACAATATCAGTTGGAAGTTCTTTTAAATTTGATGCATTGAAGGCGTTCTTGTATAGGATCGAGGTTAGCTGTTACGATATCGTCGTTTTGGTAGTCTTGACCTTCACCATAACTACAGCGTGAATTCGAACAGAAGAACAAGCATATCCGTCCTCAGCTTCCACCTCGCTCTTTTCAACTTGCTGTCAACTATCGTTCACATGGGGGCATTGTAGGATGTGCTCAATCAGTTATACGCCTTATCACAGAATTCTTCCCTTACTCGATCGATAAACTTGCTGATGAGAAAGGCATTATAGACGGAGCAAAGCCCGTTCTCTTCGCTGGATGGGACGAGAATACAGTCCGTTATGAATCGTTCCTGTTTGGGGACCGGTGAGCATTGCGCAGATCCTGCTACTTTCTAGTTCATCACCTCTTATGGGTTTCAGTGGTACCAGGATTGAATTCGGTGCACAACAATGTTAGTCGTGACCTGGTTAGTATGTTCCCTTTACCTTGCTAACGTCGTGTTAGGCATTCTTGTTCGCAATGAGGTTGCGAAAGAGAAGTTACGCAAGGAAGTTGGAGATGTGGGTTTAATCATGTGAGTCTATATATACTAAGGCTGCGTTATTCTAACAAATGATGTAGGACATTGTATGAAAGCAAGGGCTTGGAGTTTGATGATGTTGGTGCATACGTCTTGTGATGAGTGTTGTAGCTGACTGTCATACCTTTTCAGGTTCTGCTCTACAACTTCTTTGAAGACTCCACCGTGGATGTGTCGCACTTCCGAATAGTACTCAATGCACTCGAGGATAGGGATCTGCAAAAATCATCATTATCAGCACATCGTTTTGACGAGACTCGTCACGCGGGAGTCTGTAGCGAAGTAAGCTAGCCCAGTTTGTCTTCTTTTGAATCAGGCCTTTATACTTCTCTCATCAGCTCAAGTTTTTGTATGTTGCAATCACACGCGCGCGAAAGAACCTATGGATTGTGGATTACTCAAAGAAAGCAGAACCTATGAAGGTAAGACCAATAATAATGATGCTGTCCCCTACGTCACATGTGACGGAATATTCCTAGATTTTCTGGACTTCTTTGGACCTCGTACAAATTTGCACGCCGGGCGCAGATGTGCCACAGCTGGCTGTATCATCTACTCCAGAAGAATGGAGAATCTCTGGCAGAAGTCTTTTCCAGCACAAGCGTTACTATCAAGCCATGCATTGCTTTACGCGAGCTGGCCTCGAACGTGAAGCATCTGTTACACATGCGTATCATCTCCGTGAGCTGGCTCGTGGCCATCCACTAATTAGCCTAAGGCGCTCAGAATCGTTCTTGGTTGCGGCTGAGGCATTTCTCCTATGTACCCAGTCTTCTAAAGCACCCAAAGAGAAGAGGGCATACTTTAAGGCAGCTGCCGACTGCTTTGTGCACTGTGGAGATGACACAAGAGCTGCGAAAGCTTTTGTAGATGCATCGGAGTTCACACTTGCTGCTCAGCATTACAGGAAGGCTGGCAAGTTTCATGATGCAGTTCAGGTCATTGATGCCCATCGGTCACAAATGAACGAAGCTGTTGTTGACAAAATCATCCAAGTATCACGCCTGTATTTTGTGAAGGAGAGTAAACTCGAGTCAGTCTTTGTTTGATTAAGGGATTTGTATTATGCTTATTGTTACTTGTTCAGCGACGCTATCAAACTCTTCAGCTCCTACGAGGAGGGATTAGAATTCTTGGAAGACTACGATTTGGATGTGGCCCGAGCGACACTACTAGAGAAAATGGGTAGATTAGCCGAGGCTGCTGAACTTCATCTTGCCGAGGGCCGACAACTGGAAGCGATCAGACTTTTCATAGCTGATCGGGAGAACATAGACTCAGAAGATCGAGCCAAGAAGTGTTTAGTGGACTGTTTATGGCAGCAGTTATCATTTGGAAGATCAAAGTCTGCTGATAATAGTCATTTACATGCTCTTCAAGAGTTGTTACATCGGGTTAGCGACTCGCGTGCGGAAGCCGCAGAAATGGCGGAAGATAGCGAAGTAAACATGCATTTAATCGCTATGCCTTTGTACACTGACTATCGTTGAAAATATAGGTGCTGATGTTCAAAGCGATTTCAGATGGGAATACAGCCCAATTACTGAAGCTTGGTCTAATGTTCCATGGCGATCGGAATGCCGCTGCATTGCTCTGTCTAGATAATGCATTCGTGTCCATACCAAAAATCCAGGTAGCAAAAGGCTCAGAAGTGTCGTCCAGTCTTGGGTTGTTCCATATTTATACGAAAGTCCTTGGCGAAGCTGCGCGTCATCCGGATCCATATAGCAACGCACGCATTCAGAAACTTTTGGACTTCCACGTCTTGGCAGAAGGCCAGGTTTTGGTAAAGAAGGAAACATTCCTCCATGATCACTGTATGCGCAGGAATTCACCTATAATCCGATCCGATGATGGCGACTTGATTATGTCTCGGTGGGACTTCCTCGTCATATACAGAAATGCCCTGTCAGATCGTCTTCGAACACGGGTGCTCGCAGAAAATGGTATTTGCGAAAAGGCCAAAGCTTTGTTTCCTTGCCTCTCATTTGCCGCCTTCAAGTACTGCAATAATCAACAATGTGATCGCGACCACCTTGATAGTCCTGCTCTCACGAACGAAGCATATCACATGCGAGTACAGCTACACTTGCAGCAAGTACTTATTGTCCAATCGTTACATTTTGTAATGCGAGGAGATGAAACCCGAAGGTTACGGATGTAAGCTTCTTCATTCTTCTAGTGTGATAACAGATGCTGAGTTGACGGCCCTAAAGTGCGTGGATCACTCGCTTGTACGAAGCTCTCAATCCTCCTTACCACATGTTAGGACATATCTCCAACCTCGACTTGACTCGCATTCCTGATGCCCAACAAGGATGCCAAGTGGTCATAGATTGGCTTCGAGACTTGCTCTATACCCTTGACCCCCGGGAAAACAAGCCCACTTTTCTGTCTATGGCATCCATACTGGCCGGTCTGAGCCTCGACTTTGACTCGGATGCCGCTTATAGTTACGTCCGTCAGGCTCCATTCGCAGCACCAAATGGGCGACTCCCACCAGAACTATTGCGAAACAAAAGCGCTTTTTACGTTATAAATGACCTCATCGAGTTCCTGGAGGACAAAAAGCAGTATTCGTTAACGCTTGGGATATTATTTCTAAAGTCGGCTTTTTTCATTCATTGGTGATAATATATATTGACTATTATCTTTGCAAGCCATGTACTGGACAACACTTTGTGTTTCAGTCTAGATATATTATGCGATTATACTGATCATCTGTGTGCATCGATTGTTGTGCACTTCCTACACAGGAAATGGTCGTCACTCCATGGCATCACCCTTCCTCGTAGCTATTTGATCCGTGCCTTAAAACGCTTTGACAGAACACCTCGAGACACACACCTTATGGAGTTATTTTGCAGATGCCTGGGTGAACTATTAGGGCGGGTGTTTACTACTATCGACTCGGGTAAGTTTCGTCCATTACTATTACCATTAGTGATTAGATTGAACCCCGATCTCTCTTCCCAGACCATCTCGTTTATGAGGGTCAAAGTATCTGGAAACATAGTGATCCGATACGTAACGCTTTTATAGCTCGAATGTATGTCTCATCTACTTTTTCTATGTTCGAGTACTTACGCATGAAGAAAATCTAGCTGTAGATGCATGTGCCTTCGTAGGTCCCTGCCCACAGATTACAAAGATCTATGAAGAGCTGACTTTTCTTCTTTCATTTTTAGTTGGATACAACATTCGTGATAGAGATGAAAGGCTCAGAAAGCAAATCTTCACAGCAATCACCACTTTACGGAAGGATGGGCGATTTCTCCCTACGATCTGTTATCGGTATGTACTCTCCATTAAAATCGGAACATACACATTTACTTGCTTACAGGTACATTTCTGCCCGAGGATGGGAGGATCTCGCACGTCACGTAAGACAATCCGCTAGAGATTCAAACCTAGACGAAATGGTACAGCTCCATGATCTCAGTCGGGTGCCATTGCCCAATTACACCGTCTCTGGGGTCCGTTTGGTGGCATTCAAGCGGTCTGATGATATCGTTTCCCTACTCACTAGCCCTGAGACATTAACATCAAAATCGTCGACGTTGAAAGCTACTGCAGCGGCCTTCACACCGCAGCAAACCATCTCCAGTCCGGCCAAAGCTGCGCTTGCTCCATTCGCTGAGGACAATCCCGTTGAGGAAGAGGACAAGCATGACGTCGAAGAAACTGATTTGGATGTGGTGGGACAAAATCCCGAGGGCCAGGAAATCATGGGATATCAGACATACAAGAACAGTAATACTGATGCTGCATTCTCAGAGGAACATATCAAAGCAGCGACTACCTTCATGATATTGTACAAGCAACTCCTACGCAGGCGCCGCAAAGCACCAAAACATGGCCTTGCTTCTCACAGAGCACAGGTCTTCACCACGTATCAGGATGCCTCTTGCACTATCGAGTGGCCCAATGGCTACTACCGACTCCTTTTCTTAGGGCCTCTTCCTCATATCATGGTATGCCTAGAAAGGGTAGTCTCGTACGCGAAGACAGCGAAGGATAACGTAAAGAAAAGGCTCACTCGGGTTGAACATCAAGAATTGGAAGAAGTTAGCGAGCGTCTCACAAAAATGACGTACGTGTAATATGAAATTTGACTTGAATCATTGCCACTTACTTGACCAACCTTCAGTTCGTTGCTCAAAAATTCGAAACGATTGCAGAAGACCCTCGAACCTAAATCAGAGTTACATCGTCGACGAGACTTGCAGGAGTTGGAATCCAGTGTATCAGAGGTGGAGTTGCTCGTTCAACAGTTACCACAGGAAAAAAGGATGGAGCTGCAGGAAGACTTGAATTTAGGCTGGACGGGCATTGTGAAGAAGCTTGTGAAAGTAAAGAAGCCTAAGCCACTGTTAGAGGTCGACGACATTGAAGACGACATGTATTAGTTGTACCTTCAGAAATGTATAAGTAAATTTTACGTACGCGAATATGCTGTTATTGTGGTCACTGCCATGAAATGATTAAACGATTCATCACGTTGTAAATTCGAAAGGAGGACTGTCGCACTAGGTTAAAAGTGTGAACTTCAAGTTGGCCTGCATATATGAGGAATTTCATGCTAACAGCAGTACACTTATATTTTGCCCTTGATAATCATAGGATAAGTGCAAATGAAAGTTGCATAAGACGTTCGTATGAAGAGGGAAAGTATGAAATGTAATCGATAACGAAAGAAGTATTCAAGTGTGTTTGGTAGCTGCAATGTTATGAATTGTAATAGCCATTATGCACACCTGGTTTCAGATTACCCTAGACGACTACACAGCGTACTCACTGGTGAACCCAGTGAAACTCCCACACCAGACATCCATCGCCCTCATCTTCGTTCCAGGCGATAGGCTTTCTTTGCTTACCTTCACTGCGTCTCTCAGAGCTTCCACGACACCTCTTTCTCTGTCGTTTTCTATCACGTTGCTGATTTTCTTACCAAAATCATCTCCCAAGACTTCTGCGACTTCCCAATGACCATCGAGCATCCCAATGGGGGATTGGATGGCGATCTCAGATTCTAGGCCGAGCCCAGCCTCCAAAGCCATCGCCTTTATCTTCACAGGACTCAAAACAGTCCTTATATTAGATTTCGAATTGGGATTCCGACATTCTAGGGAGGCTTGCGTAAGAGCTGCTAAAACATGGGGCCAAGCAGCGACGTTTGAAGCTGAGAGAGCCCACTCTGCGATACAGATCCGTTTCGCTCGAGTAGATAGAGATCGTAAAGTCGCGAGAAGAACGGACGGTGCAGCAAAATACCAAGTGCAATGCGCCAAAATAGCGATGTCGTATATTGTATCGTCGGAAGCGAGGATACTCTCAGTATTCGAGCGGAGGAAGGTCATGCGGTTTCCAATGGGCGAGGCCTTTAGGTGCGACTGAGCTTGGCCGATAGTCCAAGGACTGCCTGTCTTCAAGCTCACGAATTGACCCAAGCATGGTTTATAAAGTAAACTCACCATATTCAGAGGGTGCAGGATCAATGGCCGTCACTTTTCCTGTTTCCCCGACAGCTGTAGCAAGGACAGCGGTGCAGTCACCCTGTCCACAACCGATCTCCAGTACATGATCGCCTTCTTGTACTTTCCAAGCCGTTACAAGGTTTACTCGGTGTTCAGTTTGCCCTAGCTGCACGTCAAAGCGAGATCCATAAAGTGATAGCTGAGCGATGCTGGCGGGGTCTAAAGGTGCCATGGTACCAAAAGTGTAGTTGTAGATTGACGATACTCAATTACTGTAGCCCAATCATGGTGGGTTTCAAGTCATTCTAACCGTGGGTATTTCACTGCCTCCTGAGCTACTTTACTAATACCACTGCTGTTAGCACATCACAGATAACTGACAATCGTCCTATCATCATCGCAGAATAATGTTAAATATATCTTGCCATCACACTCATACAATATCATTGAAATTATACATGAAGTAGGTGACATTATATTTCATAAAATTTGTCAGAACAACTAATTACACGATAGCGATATGACTGTGCGAACCGTGACACAGTTTGCTACCGAGTCAGCGACCCATATCTCTTCAATGTTTCTCCGAGTCAAAGTGGCCTTCACCCAATTCGTTGAGTTCGTCTTCGTGCGCGTCGAGCTTCCGCACCGAAAGCCAGCAGAAAATACCACCGAAAAACGCCAGGACTCCCATCACACCATAGTTCCATACGAGCAAAGGATCGGTCGATAACGCTGGAAAACAAAGTAAACGTCAATAAGCTCCACAAATAGCACGGAAATGAAATGGCGGGGACGTACAGACAAAAGCCTCGCCAAGAGCAGAAGCAATCGCGCTCATGAACAAGAAAACGGACATAACGAGAGACCGCATGTTCTTAGGCGCCTTCGTAAATGCGTATTCAAGGCCAGTAATGGAGGCCATGATCTCGCTGAAGGCTATTAAAACGTAACTAGCGAGAGGAAAATCAACATTTTTTTCCGTAAACGAGTCTCATCCAGAATCAACTCACGCTCCGGTCTGGATCCACACATTGAGAGGGGAGGTAAGGGCATTTCCAGCAGCGTCGGTGCACGTTGCTGCGTGGTATCCACATGGGTTTGTCTATCATGATCGTAGTTCGTAACTGAATTTCACTGATATGATTTCATTATCGCACCTTGTAGATGTAATGCTGAACCACTGCCGCCCAGATCATAGACAGGGAACCAGCAAAGAATCCTGCCGTAATCTTTTTTAGAGCGGTGAACTTGATCCCAGCGCGGCGTAAGGCAGGATAAATCTGAGATTTAAGAAACCCGATATTTAGCATGAACGGCAGTCACGACATTATAGAAGAAAGCCCAACCAAGAGATCACTAATAGGGATAAATATGAGGAGGGCAAAAGGATCAAGGTTGGACAAGACGTCATTGGGTAATCCGTGCGTAGCCATGGTCGCAGCCTGCGACGTCAAGTTACTGTTCAGTTGGTTATACGTGAGCCCTGGAAGTTGGGACATTGATATTTAGCTTGCTCTTCGACAGCAACGGCATGCTCACAGTAGATAGGGAACCACAGGAACACCGCACAAGCCTTAAATCCTCTCCTCACTTCGTCCACCCACTGGTCATCAAAGGTCATCCATGCAGGCTTATCTTCTGCGGCAAGCCGGCTAGGTTTAGCGGTATCCCAGAAATCGTCGGCCTTAAATTGCTTGATCAACTTCACTGGGTTCCAACTCCATCGCCCACGAGCTGCAAGACGCCAAATACGTACTGCAGTGGCAAGTACAGAGCCTGTGGGAGGTGAGCATATGTAGCGACTCCTCCCATACCAGAGAATAATTGGGCAGAGGAAGAATATAATGGTGGGTAGTGTGTATGCAAGCCAAAAGCCCACGTACTTCGCCGCACTGTGAGTAAAAACTAAACAGGCATCACATCGAAACTTACTTTTTCTGCGTAAACCATGGAGATTTGACCGATCAATGCACCAATATTGATGAAAAAATAGAAGTACTTCATAAACGGTAAGTTAGCAACGATGTTTTCGAGCGCGCGTTAACCTTTACCATATAGATCTTGGCAGTTGTCATAGCCGGATCTACGATTACACGCTCACCACTTTTAGTGGTTGCAATGAATAGTTTTGTTCGTGGGTATTGCTCGGCCACTAATGGAGAGATGTTTGACTTGAAACCCCCAGTTCCAAGCCCAGTCACGATCATAGACAGAACAAACACTCCTATTGCGCCCTGCTTTTCGATGACGCCGGGTACCGCAGAGATGATCATCAAAATGTGTCCCAACATAGCGACACCAACGGAAACACTAATTGTTTTATACCGACCCCAGTATGTGTCCGCAATATATGCACCAAGAAGGGGAGTACAGTAGCACCTAAGACAACACGGGTCAGACATTACATCGTTCGATGAGACAATAATCACGAACCAGAATTGATAGAACGTGTTCAGACCAGTCGCTGTTTGCTGACCTCTATCCAGTGCACCTGACTGTCCGTACGTTCCACTCGCGCCAGTGTGCGAGCCTGGAGGAAGGGGCTGCTGAATATAATTTGTCTGTGGAAAACGATGTGTTTGTGAGCTTCTGTGTTGTACAATTAAAGAGATGATCTTACGAAGACGACACTACTGCCTGAGGGTATATGAAGAGAGTAAGCCCGCCAGATCTCGTTGAATTCTCATATACCAAACTCTGATACTGACCATAAAACTAAAAAGAAACCAAATGTCAGATGTCACCATCATAAGAACGAGTGAAATCGAAAAATCAACGTACTGAAAAGCGTTCTGCAAGCTCGACAACAGCGATAACTATAATAAATAAATAAAAGACATGGTGAGTGCTGCTCATCATTTAGATGTGAGGGAACTCGTACGATAAGCATTCCATGGAAGCGAGTCAGTGACACGTCTGAGAGTGACCTTCTCCTCGTCTGTGGGGAATTCAAGGCCATCGTGTATACCATCGAGTTCTTCCCCAGATACCGAAACGATGTCAGAATTTGCCTTTTCAAGCTTTGTATCGTGTTGGACAGCTTCACCCAATCCAGCAATAGCATCACGATCGTGTAGTAGGCCGGCCATTGACAACTTGCAGGTGCGCTCCGGATGCCAGAGAGTGCAGTTGAAAGGGGGGAGAAGGCGTACAAGGTCAGATGGGGTGTGCCTTCTTATTTAGTATGGAGAAAGAAGCAAGATCCAGCCATTTTGAACGCCGGGAAGGGGATAGCCATTCGCCTCATTTGAGTGTCCACATGTGCTTTCCTTCTTCAGTACCGCTCATTTTCGGTTATGAGTGCCATATGACGCGAAACGCCATCGCTACAGAAGCCATCATACTCCATCATGATCAATCACACGGAAATGCTTATTGACCTTAGTGCTTGACCACCACGCCATAGTCAAAGCTTAAGGTGAGTGCCAGAGTAAACCACTCCTATCGTGCCGATTAGTGATAAGCTTAATCGTTGGGATACAGACGACACCAATAAGTTCGCAGACTCTCTGGCGGACTCCGAACCACGCGCAGGCTTTGTCGTCTGTGCCGCATTGCCGACAGTGTAAAATGCCTCGTCTTTATACTCCGATCAGAGTTTATATCTTCAGGTTATGTTGTACCTTTCGTGCCTGGTCTTGGCTTCGATGCTTGGCTCCTATGATAAGGACCTTATCTTTTTCACAGCACCTATCAAGTTTTAAGTCTGCGATGTCCCTAGACCGTAGTGTTTGAAAAACCTAAATCACGCGAAAGCCGTAATGAAGAGAGATCATAAGATACGCATGGTGGCCCGAGGTCCGCGACTTGCACACACACCAGTCGGGGACTGACATTGGCTACTGAGCGAACGAAAGAATAACTCCTCAAAATCATTATAACTGCATAGTCAGCGTAATAATTTTAAATATGTTTTCAACAACTGTCACCCACAAAGATGCTCAATCGTCCAAGTTCTCAACTTGGGCGTTTCCAGGCAGAGATTTTTACGATACACCTGTATGGCTTCCTCTGCAAAATTGATCGAGAAAACTTCCATTGGTGTAAAAGCCACTGACGCTTGTGGTCTGGAAGCACGTTTTATCAAATTGAATACCAAAGAGGTGGTGCTGAGTATCGATGAGAACATGAGTTAGATACAGTAACATGGCCAAAGACTCCTATCAACTTACGACGATTCCACAATCCTACGGTGAGGGCAACCTAGGCTAAGTGGCTCTAGGTACCTGAAACGCTGTGGCTAGCGAGATACTACTGGAGCTCACCGAAAATCGACCATGGTCGGTAAATCTAAATTTCCCAATGAATGCTTTGAAGTAAGAACAGCAGAGTTGCATCAAACTATATTCCATACTATCCTTGAAATATCCGTAGAAGCGACGGGCAGTTTCCCCTTGCAAGGGCAGCAGAAATTTTTGGTACATGCGGACCCCTTCGTTCAGGTTGGAATATTTGGGGTCACTAGCGTCTTCCACTTCAACGTTTTGCTTCTGGAGGAAAATCCTACAGACAACAGCCAATGATTCTACTTGACCAAGCAGCTCTTCGCGGGAGATATATTACTTTCCGCCTGAGGTCCTGATAATTCCTTAACGATGTTGAGAACTAGCTGAAAGCGATCACGTCAGGTTCTAAACCTACAGTTATTGAGCGCAACAGCTCATTGTGAGAGAAAGGGTCAGAAGAAAAACTTGTACTCTGAACTGACGTCACAACTTATCGTACCGTTAACCAATATCTGCTGAAGGAAAGAAATCATAGTGAAGTAAACATAGTGCATTCGTACAGGAGTTCTTGTTTAACGTGTACAGAAGCGGTGGACTGAACGCGCTCAGTGCGCAGCGCCGCGGGCATATTTTTTTTCCTGTCACCGTATGTTGCGTACATTCTCACCAGGTGACCGATATAACACGAATGCGCTCGGCGAGTTCAAACAACTTGAAAATTACAAAACAGTATATAAATCAGATACAGTACTAGTATATTGAGAGAGAGAGGAGAGATTTGGCTACAGTAAATTCTTTCATTAAAGATGAGACGGTTTACTAAGTGTTGGGGATGCAGTATGGGGATCTGCCAAAGAGAATGTGAGCATCAGTACTAAATCCAGTTGAACAGCACTGGGACTTTAGGGACATACGAAAAGCTTGAGATCAGTTAAGCCTCCCCCTAGCAAGAGCATCTTGCAAGTTCACTAAGGCTATTTTGGCTGCCAATTCCTTACCGGCATCTTTGCTACGTCCTTCCCCACGGCCATACTCGATTCCTTTGACTATTAAAAGATATATCAGATGGGTGCTACAGGCCGTGAAACTCTAATGCGAACATACTCTTCGCGACGCAGGTCCATACTTCGTTATGACTGGGGCCTCTAGGGTCACATTCCCAAGTCAACACTGCCGTGGCCTGGGGTCCGTAGATTTGCTGGAGCAAGTTGTTTAGGGTCATTCTATAATCTGCGAATGGTGGTCACTTGGCTTCAGTGCAGATATATGCGTTGAGCTAGAAAACGTACGAGCTTGCGACATATTAGAGATTGAGAGATGAGCTTAATGCGAAGACTGTAAAGGAAAAGAAGGCTGGTTGAAGAGTCTGGAAATTGTCTGAGGAGTAGCTTACCTTCTACGACCTCTTATACATGCTGAGAGACATACAGGATATGTGTGGAACACAGTCCCAACGAATTGAATTTACCTAAATGCATCTGCACTGAAAGTGCGAACGGTCCAAGTAGGTCAACCTGCACAAACTGGTTGACAAACTTTGCAGCACACAACTCCTTAGCCCACACAGTGATATTTGTTTTAAATCATCACCGTAAAAGGGCTGCGCAGTACCAACACCAGTAAAGCATTATTCAGCTGATATGACAGCGAAGACGATGAAACTTACCAAATAAAAATATCATTAGCCTCCAACACGAGACACACTCGAGGGACAATTGGGATTGGGCCCTCCCTGTAACGTACCCAAGCCGGTACGAATAGTTAGCCCATGGTGCATCACCACTGCACTTGTACTAATGACGGGATGTTTCCTGAATGGTGTGATAGTAGGTGTCGCTAAATTAATCTTCTTCCCGTATCCAGTGAACAAATCCTCCCAGCGTAATGCCGATGACTGTTGCCACTAGCAGTAACATTGAGGTCCTGACCAATGAGAGTCGTCTTGTAGAATGGTGAACAAGAAAGCGCACAAGACGGACCATTTGCTTTGATTCACCGAACCCCGTTGGCACGGAGGAGCTATGTCACCTCTGCTGCGACATTTCAGCCATTGACGTCAACTTGATGTGCGGAGTGGCAGTGGCGAACAACAGCTGTATCAGATACACGCAAAATTTGCATAGACCTGACCATCGTATTAGAAGTACAAAGCAATACGAATCAAAATGTTGATATGTCCAATGGGAATGATAGATGTATGTGAACCACTCACTAGTTGCATAGCACATCATCAGGACCGCACAAAGCAGGACAGCCAAACTCCAGAAATGTGTCCGGCGGACCAGAACAAAATCACGCTCCTTTTTTCGTTGATCGGCAGAGCAGCTCTTTCGCAGCAAATAGTGTTTCAAGATCGAAATTACTGCGATAGTTGGTACAGCAGAGTGAGATGGGAGACGGGAAATTTTTTGCCACAGGTTCACCTCAGGAATAGTAAGCGCTAGACATAGCGGAAGGACAAGTTACCCGGGAAATATGCTATGCTTGCTGTGAACCCACTTCTGTTGTCTTGGGAGGAACTGAGTAACACAGACGCGACGTCCGCACATTTCTAGTCTCTGTTGTGCTGACAATTCAGTCACGTAAGTTGCGCGATAGCAGTGCTGCAAGTGAATAGCACGAGAGCAGCACTATGAACAAACATTTGGTCCAGGAATAAGAGTCTCAGCGATCCAGGCAACATGCAAAAAGGAGACTCGCCACAGGTTACTTACCAAGTGCGGGTTATGATATTAATGTTCATGCACTTATACATCGGTTTAGCGTCAGACCTGTAATCGAATAGGGCGGATGTACAAAGCATTCCTAGGATCACTGACTGGCCGCTGACTCTGCTGGCGACCTCACAACATTGCCAAGGCAGTCGAAGTTGTCACTCCGATCCACAACTTGAATCTCCGAGTCGATGCCAGCAGTACTACTTATGGTTCTCGATTGCCACCATAACTTGAATTCAACCTGTACTTTTCGTCCATTCTGATCGTATGGAGTTCGGATAATGTACAATACACAACGGCTCTTGGTATCTACTGAATATGAATCACCTCATCACCTACATCAATACATCTGCACTGCCTTCCTTAAGCAAGGTTTTTTCATTCGAGTTGTTCTTCGAAGGTGCGGGAGAACGGTTGGGTGTAGCCGCAGGAGCAGGAGTATTAGTTTTGACAGGTCCGTGCTCCTCTTTCCCTGCTGGGTGGTACTGCCCATCGTCAGATTTGGGATTAGGGTGGTATTGTCCATTGTCCAACTTGGGATCGGGATGATATTGTCCGTCATCGTACCTACGGGCGGGACTGTGCTGTTGAGCATGTTTCTGGCCAGGGTGGTACTGCCCATCGTCGAACTTTGAATCAGGATGGTATTGTCCATTGTCCAACTTGGGATCGGGATGATATTGTCCGTCATCGTACCTACGGGCGGGACTGTGCGGTTGAGCATGTTTCTGGCCAGGGTGGTACTGCCCATCGTCGAACTTTGAATCAGGATGGTATTGTCCATTGTCCAACTTGGGATCGGGATGATATTGTCCGTCATCGTACCTACGAGCGGGACTGTGCGGTTGGGCATGTTTCTGGCCAGGGTGGTACTGCCCATCGTCGAACTTTGGATCAGGATGGTATTGTCCATTGTCCAACTTGGGATCGGGATGATATTGTCCGTCATCGTACCTACGAGCGGGACTGTGCGGTTGGGCATGTTTCTGGCCAGGGTGGTACTGCCCATCGTCGAACTTTGGATCGGGATGATACTGGCCGTTATCGGCTTTGGGGCTCGGGTGGTACATTTCGTTACTGTTCCGACGCGAATGCCTCATACCAGAATTAGGGTGGTGATACTGTTCATTGTACTTTCCTTCTCTGTGGTACCGGCCATTATCATCGACATTGGGGCGTTGGTCCTGTCCATCATCGAACGAAATGACTGAATGCTGTTGACCGTCGTCGTGACCGTCTTGATCGTCGTTGTTTTGGTCGTCGCCGTCATCATACCGAAGTTTCAGGGATCGCTTTCCCTCGTATTTTCCATCATCGAATTTTTGGTCGGGGTGGTACTGACCATCGTCAAACTTGGAGTCGGGGTGATATTGACCATCATCAAACTTGGGGTCAGGGTGGTATTGGCCATCGTCGAACGTGGAGCGGGAGTGATATGTCTTGTCATCACTGCGAGCTGAAGCAACGAGGTTATCTCTCGCTATATTGGGCAGAACAGAAGCAGGACCCGGGCTCTAGTGATTGGGAATCTTTATCAGTATGTAAATGGTCATACTCCCTTGTAGAAAAACTGACAGTATTGTTGGCAGGGGCGGCGATAGGTGTCGGGGACGCTACGGCGATGAGGGAGAGTGCAAGGAGCAGTGTGAAACGAAGGCTGAGTTGAACCATTGTGTTTGAAGTCGTTTATCCTGTGGGATGTTGAAGAAGCTGTGAAAGACAGGGTGAATGGCTAGGATGTTGTGAATATAGAGAGGGATTGGAAACGAGGAAATGCAGTCCGCGAGGGCGCGCTACTTATACGCTTTCGGAGGCTAACGAGCCTGCCAATATGTATGTTGGGTGACGAGCACGGATGTCGTCATGGGTAGAAGATTGCAATGATGTCACGCATGCTTCAAGGGAAGTGACTTTTTTTGGAATGCTGATCAGCGCAGGATGCTTAAGGTAAGTACTGAGACGGCACTCATTCTGTAAAAATGTACATTAACACCATGGATAAAAGACTCGTTTATCGTGTGGACAGGAACGACATAAAATGTGTAAACTTCGAATTGACGATATGAGGTAACGCACAATGTATGTATGCACCAAGGTTTTGAATTTTGGTTCTGACGTTTCCCCCATTCCATAGACATGCTCATAAATATTGATATATATTACCTGACACCTCTGAAGCAGCCTATGGTACTCGGAGTAAACGTGAAGTACATATGCTAAATTTCTGGGTGCTGAGGATCCATCAGCCAGACTCACTCCTATTTTCATGAATTTAACCATTCAGCATCGATTTGAATTCTGACCAGTTGGCTCAAGAACATTTTGCAAAAGAGTACTGTACCCGTAAGAATAGTATCAATCATCATCGCGACTATCAAGAATACACCAAATTCCTTGTATGTTTACCAACCTCCTTGGTTGCTTTCATAGCCTCCTCGCTCCAAGGGGCGAGCTGCAGAAACCCATGTGTAAGATTTCCAAAGTGCGTCCACTTGACAGTGTTTCCAGCACGTTCTAGTTTATGCGCGTACTCGATGCCAACATCACGGAGGGGGTCAAAGCCACATGTATAAATGTGCGCCGGTGGAAGGTCTTTCAAAGACGAAATTGGTTGCATGCCAGGAGAGACGTAGGGGTGTGAAGGAACAGTACCGAGAGGAAGGTAATTGGACCCAAACGAAAATATGCCATTGCCTAGCCATCATTACCATCTCACTTATTTGGCATTTGAATAGAACGCAATGTAGCACACTTACACTCAAGATAGAGTCCCGTATTATTTTCACTGGCCGCTGGGGTATCGAACGGGAGTCTCGCCTCGGGATATAAGAGAATTTGTCCTGCCAAAGGTTTCTTGCCTTCATCGCGCAGGCGCAATGATATTGCGGCAGTCATATTTCCTCCTGCACTATCCCCACCTCCAAGAACACTATCCGGATGTACGCCTCGCGAAGCGCCAAACGTCGATCGGAGATTTTCAAGAACACAGGCGTACTCATCAAGCTGGGTTGGGAAATGATACTCGGGAGCGAGACGATATTCAACCGCATATATCTAACAATACAAGGTGAGGGGATAAGCGAAGGCTCGGAAGAAATCAAACTGATGCTGACCTGTAGCCCACTTTCCTCTGCAACAATCCTCAAACCATTCTCAAATTCATCTACTGTACCAACAGTATATCCTCCACCATGGAAGTAAATTAAAGCACCTGCTTGACCCTTCTCCTTCCTTCCCTCCCCAGAGCTTGGATATAGGACCCTCACCGGTATTGTTCCGTGCGGACCGCGCAAAGCCGTGAACTCGACGTGATGGATAGGGGCGTGTCGGTCCTTGGGTAGATTGTGGATGCCGAAGACTTTGGCGTGATTACGCCTTTCATCCGTAAACTTATCGTCACCTCCAAGGTGCAGAGATGGCTGGGATTTTAGAAAACAATCAAGCTCTTGGTCAAGAACAGATCGAGTACCAGTCGTGGGTATGGACGTTTCATTTGTTGCAGACATGTCTATTCCATAGATACGTAGAGCGATGGTGTGCACCGATGGGTGTTGTCAGAAGATAGTTATATCGGGGTAGCTGGTGTCGATGGACGGTTGACCAGTTTATATACACCCTGAAGGACCAGGCGAGCGTCATGGAAAAGCTCATATGACGTGTGGATGGTCGATCATTTAACCTAGTCACGTGCCATTTTATTTTATTCACGTGATTCCTTCACATGACAGCAAAATGCGTTCCAAGTCTCTTGCGACTTCTGCTCATGCATCTTAGGTAGCCTGGCGACTCAAGAGGGGACTGGGAACTGGAGTTATCAATGTTTGAGTTTATTTTCTTTAGTGCGATTAACCGCTGACGGACACTCCCACGAACGGCATACCCCCATGCTAGTCACTTGCAAAAAGTAGACAGAGAGGGTGATTACTTCTCCAAGAGACAATGTATATCACATGGCTTGCCTGAACAAACTCGAGAATGATGATATATACCAATTTTTTACAAATTACACTGGTAGAGTACAAACCTCAGATCTTGTTGTGAATAAATACAAATGCACGTTTCTTAACCCACTCTCATGCCTGTAGCTCTCGAGATACATATCTATTGGGTGTTATCAGCTAAGACTGTTGAAGCCAGCGTTTTAAACAAGATCCTCTCGCGAAGTCTAAGTAAAGGCAGGGTGGATTCAATCTTTGCATGAAACAGTTTGGAGGACGGCTTACCGAAGTTGTCATGTGGGTCACACGAACAATGACCTTCTGTCCAGTTACTCCCTTGTGGGCAGTGCTGAAAAGGACTGTGTCTGTAGCCGATGTCTTTGAAGAAGTGTATTTGGTCTTTCTTGGCAAATAGGGAAACGGCGATGCTATGGATAGGCGCGTCACCCCAACGCTATAGGAGACTTTAAGATACGCAAGGACGAGGGATGACATGGAGAAACATGCCTCATAATAAAATCCACCCTTTGCTTCAAGATATTCAAAATACTTCGAATATGCCTCGCCCCGCCAAAAGTCCATGTTGGCTATCTCAAAGTTACTCCAGACTAAGCGGAACGAAACCTATTTAACTACCTACAGGTAAGGTTATGGTTACTCACAATGGCACAGGTTGTAGGTGTCGCCAGCATCATCCGAGAGAAATTGCATTGCATTGCCTTCTGCGACGTATTGAGGGTTTTGGGCAATGAAGTCTGTGGGATGAATGTCAACGGAGAAGATCACTATTGGTGTCGCTCGCTGCACCTTTTACTGTCCCCCAGAGTGTTGCTATAGTAGGTGCCCATTCTAGCAAGGATATAGTAAAGCCTATTTTGTATGTCATTGCAAACCCTTGACAATAGATGCGAATGGTTACCATATAGTTTATTGTTGTCCTGCATGAAAAGAAATGGATCATAGTCGAGGTCACAGAAATAACTAACATCAGGCCTACTTTGAAGTTAGCCTCGAGTTTACTTGAGAAAATTACATTCTCACTCCACCCGCCAGTACCACTGATATTGTTTCAGAAGCTCGTGCCTGTAGAAAAACTGACAAGTACGACGAATGAGCTTGCCTAACGCCAATATGCTGACTAAAGGAACTTACGCCGGAATTGAAACGACACATGTTCCGGTACCTACAAGGGTACATGGGTCGTCAACACAAACCAACGTTTGTAATCTATAAACGTACGATACACTGCCTAAACAGAGGATCATCAAAGTCTCCAAACCCTCTATCAAGGATTAAGCTCACCGCCATAAATGATCCGTTGTCTGGTTAACTTATAACGACCTAGCGCAGCTTTTGACTCGTCAATCCAGTCAGGTTGGAACCAATGATCGTGCGGAATGAGTCCAAAAGAAACGGGCGCATCCGTCACTATACTGACACGCCTGCAAACAACATATTTTAACCAGTTGTTACTTCAAACATCTACTGGATGCGCTTACCGTTTGAAGTCGTCCGTAAAGGGCTCCTCGTTGAGAAGAACCCATGGGTACCTAAATTTGTTGTTAAATTTTATCTCCATTTGTTCCATACTGCTGATGACCCCGGCTAGATCGCTGTTCCGAGCGAGCATAAGAAGAGTAGCGTTTGCTTTGCGTTTTTGTTGTTCATTCGATACCACTGTGTCTAACCCAAAGTAGTCAGAAGTTGATACGTTCTATAAGCCCAAGTATCCTACTTTCAGGTATGTCAACCACTGCCATTGAGCTATATGGCAGATACCATGCACCCAACCGACCTAAAGATAAGTGATCATTACCGTCGTATAAAGTACCTAGTGTGTAGTACAGAAGTGCCTAAGCATTGTCAACATCAATAAATTTACAGAAGAAAAAGGTAGGCGCCAGTACCAAAGTCAACATCACGAAGAGCGGACGCCTAGGAGCCGCTTTCATGATCAGTGAGATAGTTTGTTGCATGAAGCCCTATAAAGAGGGCAGTACTAGTACTGTGTTTCTTCGCAATAGAGATCAGCTGTAATAATGGCGGGATAGTATTTCACGTTGACGGGAGGTGCAAAGGTCTTGAAGTAGGTGGTAATGCAACAAGAGGACTTGAGCGGGCGCGTCGTAAAACGAGTCACGTGATATTTTGATGTTATACACGTGATATTCGATTCAGCTTTATTGAACGCGCCATGATGAGCAACAGTGATGTCGTGAACTTGAACTATGCAAAGACACCAAGTATGCGTATACTTTGTGCGCAGGATTAGCGTTATGATGATCTTATTCTGAAAATTTAGTGAGCGAACCTATGTTATCCAGACTATGCGTATTATTTATAGGAAGATCACTGCTTACCATTCAGGTGACATGCTCATAAAGCCATGTTACTCTACGACATCCCGCTACAGCCAGGCCTACTCCTGGTTTGATGCCGAAATACTGCAATAATTATGGTCCAGCTTGTGTGTTGGAATAGGCGGCTGACACTCACCTTTTCGCAGCGACGCCTATGTCAGCCGCACTACATCGATGCGATACAGCCCTATATATTCCCGTACAGCCCGTTTTTCACTTCTTCTCCATTACCATCATGTTCAACCAACCGAAATCCAAGAAGCCTTTTACACCCATGCGTCAGCTCGTCATCAACTTCTTGAAGTCCCCAGTGACTTTGGGGAAACGGTCTCGTTCACGCTCCTGCTCCTACGACGATATGAATCTCGATCGCTTGCGAGGCTCCGATATGCACCCCAGGCGGGTCGTCCTGCCTGTTACACAAGATACACCTGCGCCTGGAAAGAATATGGCACTTCCCGCAATGACTCAACGGTCACCACTCCCAGGAGTTGCTCTACAAACTGAAGACCCTGAATCAGGTGCAATCATCATCACCTCTCTCGCCGTCCCACCATTTTGCTGCCATGAGGACCTGCTTACCATGCCGCGCATTCAACTTATCAAGGTAGCGCAAGCACTCAACGAGAGGCTTCCCGCTGCACTTCAAATTCCTGTGGGTACCGACGTCAGCGATGCGCTGATAAGAAACAGCATCGAAGTTCTCGTAGGAATCCGTGCACCAGGAAGAGATCTTCGCGCGGTCCCTCCCGCACCAAAGCCTTCTCGTACAAGGAGCCTGAATAGAGATATATGCATAGACCTAGACGTAAATTTTGACAAGGACGCTAAGGAAGATGGCATCCTAGGATTCAACAGTAGCCCGCCTTCCAGTCCACTCGCCATGCGCATGCGTTCGCCTTCGCACGACATCTATAATTGTTCAAGCCCCCACAGGCTAACTATGCTCAAAGAAGAAGATGAAGAAATGGGTGCACCCCGACGTCGTCCTTCCAAAAGGCAGCGTGTATCCAGCAACGAGTCTCAGGGTGTGGATGAAGTAGAGAAAGCCCCACCACGCAGACGAAGTGCACGAATACGCGTACGCAACCTGCCGTCCAGCCCCACGCCAGCCCCAATGTCAGACAAAGTCTGTATCGCTCAGCCTAAGCTACATCGTGAACCGTTGAGACGGCAGTCATCCCCACCGCAGACACGGATCCTACGATCCCAAAGCCAGAAAATGCCGTCAGAACAGAAAAAGATCAAGGTTGACACAAGGTTCATTACTCTCACTCGACCAAAGTACAGATTTCGAAGGCACAAGAGTGAAAATTTGGGGGGGACTCGCAACGTTGCAAGTTACACTGCAGTGCCAAAAGACTTCTTGAACGCCAGGTCGAGAGCGGAGTCAGTCAGCACCATCGATCAGGAACAGGAATGTACCAGCATTAACGAAGCATCTCCCAAGTCGGTTCGCACATCCGTTTCCCAATACTCCATCGGACTCTTGGAACGAGCTGGTCTGAAGCGAGAAAAGACTAAGAATAGGCCGACTAGCATGCCACAAGATGATACGAAGGTAACCTCTGGGTTTCAGGGGATGACGTTGGAAGGGACCATGTCTGCTTTTGATATACCTTCTTCCAGTCCTTAGCGTAGTATGCTTACACCGAGAGAATAAGTAGTACTTCACAAATTCGAAGTTTCTAGGACTGCGCGAAGAATCATTAGCATCTTATCACTAGTTATCCAGGTGTAAAATATGTGCATACCAACAACTTGGTAGACGATAAGGTTAGAAGAAGAGAAGTGAGCATCTGAAAGGTGTATCGACTATAGGGAACCACCTGTTCTTTTTTCTTCGGCATATGTATCGTACAACAATGAAATGCGCGCTTACGAAAGTAATGTTTCTCAAGGTATCAACCTCAATCTCAATGTATGTCATTGGACCTGTGGTGAAAGGCTTAAAACAACCTTCCGTTTACGTTAGTATTGCCCTTACCTTAACCAGATCCTGCATAAATGTGTAAGTATGGCAGTGATGAGCACGATAAAAGCGTGCCGACACGTTGAATGTATTTGCTGTTGCCAATCGAAGCTATGACAGCCTTGGAGAGAGAATTTCTATTCAGTGACATCGACTTTCAATAGCACGTGGGGGAGAGTGGTTGCACAGGGGCCGATGAAGAGAAAGTGGGCAAGGTCGTCATTGTCGCTTCGCTGGATGTTGAATACTGCCACTGTACCACCGTGCTCCGCAATTTCATGTGCATATCCAGCTGCTGGATAGACCTTACGGATTGTAAGTATAAAGAATCAAATACTTTGCATAGACGCACTGTTGACGAAGTTCCCACAATTAACGCCAAGTCCGCATCGTCGACAATTTTTTTGATCTCCTCTAAATGATGAGGAACTTCCTCAAACCATACAATTCCGGGACGTAACAGGCCAGCACACTTAGAGCAACGAGGAAGGTCTTCTAACGGTATATTAGAATCGTTCTTGAGGTTGTCCTCTGTACCAGCCAAAGCCGAGCATATGGGGCTATTAAAGTTTGCTTTACGATCATTGCAGACAGTGCATATAGTGTCAAAAAGACGACCGTGCATCTCGAAGAGCTCGGGCTCCCGCAAAGGAGATACCTGTTTAGAAGCTCGAGCACTGAGGCCATCTACATTCTGAGTCACCAATGTAAACTTGGCTTCAGGGGCTATAATTTTGAGATGTTCAGGAACAGACAAAAGGGCAAGGGCTAGATGACCGGGATTTGGTGCCGCCTTTAAAGCACTAGACTCGAATATGTCAGTATGTCTCGACAAACGACGTATAATAAACACTGTACGTCTCTCTCCGATAATGATAAAACTGCCACACTCTACTGGGATCCTTAAAGAAAGCTCGAGGGGTAGCAAGACTCATGGCATCATGCGATCTCCAAAGACCTCCTGCATCCCTAAACGTTGGGATGCCTGACTACACATGTCCATGAAAGTTGGAGATGGAATTGGAACTGTGGACAGACCTGACGCTGCGGAGAGTCCTGCCCCTGCTATGGCAACAATGTTCGTACTTTTCCTGAGAATAGAACGAAACAGCTCAGTGTCGTTTAAAGGGGCCATATCAATATGTGCGTTCAGATAACGGTGAACTTGAAGTTGAGAGGAAGAATGGGACGGTCACGGTTTTCTGCTCGTTTAGAACTCAGGCGGCCCGGGCAACCCGACAGCAGCTTAAGCTACAGAAATCTGGGACACGATCATTTTACACCGGCAATTCAGTACTCGTGCTACTGTAATGCATTTATAGTAAGGTATACTAGCTAGTTGCGATCTTCTGTCACAAGTAAATAAGAATAATAGTTGTAGACTCTCGGGGTGTTCTTGTTGTCATTTGGGACATGACATTGATTCAGTTAGCTAAACGCATACTCTCGACTCTGTCAGACCTAGCGTTATCTATTTCCTTCATATAAAAGCACAGTGTGAATACAGGACATACGGCAGCAACTCAAACGACGATATTTTCAGCTTTAGCAAATGACACAATCCCCACCGGCGCCCATGTTCGGTAATCCATCTGCCCCCATACTGAATCCAGGCGGAAGAGGACCCATGAGATCCTCGGGTGGCGAGCCGTGCGATTGAAGCTGTGAAAAAAAGGAGTAAGAACTGCTGTCAACGTGAATTCATAGCTGTGCAGTAGTTTACCTCGCTCATAGCATGTAGCACTTCCTCCTTCTTTTCTTTGTTGTCATCTTTGTAACCAGGGGCGTCGAATATGACGAGCAAACGTTCAATACAGGAGACTTGTGCTTCGTAGCGAGATTTATCGGAGGCCGACAGGGTTGCGGCGTTTTTGGTGAGATAAGCAGGGAACTAAGAGCATGATAAATGAGTAACTTGATTATAAAGAGAAACAAGTGACGAAATAAATAAATAAAGCGGAAAAAAAGGATATGGTTGGAGGGCATCGTGTTTCGTAGATGGAGGCTCACCTTATCTGAAAGCTCTTTCAGAGGCTCGTAGAGCACATCTTTGCTCATCAGCTGACCCATCATGGTTTCTAGCATGCCTTGAAGTTGCTCCTCTCCACCTTCTCCTTCTCCTAATCCCTCCAGGCCACCTTGACCCAATTGAGCAAGGAGCGCTTCGAGTGGATCTGACGACGCTTGATTTTGCGATTGATTTAGCGTTGACTCGCTTTCTTTGAGTTTATTCATCGTGGCCCGGATACGTGCTTGGTAATCATCTGCAGGAGGTGGGACAGGTTTAGGTATTGAGCCGCTAGATGATGCCTTCGCGCTAGGCGCTGTTGCACCCTTATTCCCTTCCTCAACTCCAAGCCCGTTCATTCCTTCGACGAGCATTGCTTCCCAAGCAGCCGCAAATGACTCCTCGCGCTTCAAGCGTTCAGCTTTCTGTTCTGGCGTTTCGTCCTTTGGTGGATCACCTGATCCCATTCCCAAGCCACCTAACCCCGAACCCAGTCCTTCAGTATCGGCACCGACCTCACCAGCCTTGCCCGCCTCGAACTCTGCGGTTATCTCACGCATGAAGGATTCCATGCTCTCCGCGAATTCTGATGCCCATTCAGGTGTTGCATCATCTGCAGATGCAACTGGCGGAGGGCTCGCCTTTGCCGCCGATGTTGAAGAAGGCGGAGATAGCGAACTGGATACTGGAGGAGATGCAGATGATGATGGCGCAGATGTGAGAGTAGAGGCGTTGTATGGTTTCGAGGGTGTAAATTGATCTAGGACATCTGTTAAACAACATAGATTAGTGTGAAGAGTCAATGAACTGGAAACAAGATCAAAGACGTACCATCAAGATCATCGAGGTCATCGTCATCATCATCGTGCACGGTTGCTCGTTTTGGATCACTAGACATATTTTCTTAGCACGATATCTGATGTATTATGTGGTCAGTAATCTGCTGAACCGCGTCCTCGCCGCAGCACGGTCAAAATGAACTTGAACCCACCTAGTAAGACTGACTAAGTTGTGATTTTGGCTGTTTCCAGTCGCTGCAGATATCAGTATAATGGCTTGCAAGATAATCCTTGCCAGAATGGTTGATGATAGTGAGATGGAGTAAGGGTCCAAGTGGAAGTCATATATATAGAATTTACTATTACTACTAGCACTGTAAACTTTACCAGTACACGTGAATACAAGTGCGCGGCTGTCCTCCGACTGCCGATGCTACTTCGCAGATTTTCTTTATCTCACTATCTCAGTGTTAACGCTCTGACGTTCGAAACCGCATTCTATGTACAGGAGAATAATCAATAAGCATGAAACATCAGCATCAGCCGCTTCCATTATATTTCAGCATTGAAATATTGAATAACCAACTTGACTGCCCGGTTTTTATTAGTACCTCCATGGTCATTCACCCTGATAAAACCTGATAGACACTACTGCCTGCTAGTCCATTGGTAGGCAAAGTAAACGAAAGGCTCTTGGAGCTATCATTGCCCCACCCCTTGGGTTTGGTGCCATTACCCAGAGACATATTAACAACTAGCTGAGTTAATGTCTGCGAGGGGTCGGATACAGTGACGTTGCCAGAATTGAGGCGGTAGACGACAACTGCATTACTGTGGGACGTGACATGGAGAGATGCAAATGCACCATCGAAATCAAAGGAGACGGCACCACCCGCTGGATTCCAAAACACTATCATCGCAGTATTGTGCGTCGCATCGAAGAGTGCAGACACGTTCTGGTCATTGGCGATGTCTTTGATCTGTGCTTGGTTTGATTTTAAAACGAATGTGCCAAAATCGGTACTGGGAAATGCAGTATAGGAAATGGGAGTGCTGATGTTTTGATGATCTATCCAAGCTGCGAACAGGTCCACTGTTGCAGGAGGCTGAGTTGATGTCCCGATGCTAGACCAATTACCTGTTCGGTACCCAGTCTCCACAGACAGTGAGAACGACCCATTCGACGGTTGGAACACGTAACCAACACTTCCATGCCACATAGAAGATGGATTAGAGAAGTTCCCGCCATAAGTCCCAACTCCATCTACAAAAACACCACCATTAAGCCGTTTTTGATCAAGGACACTGTATACTGGAGCAGCACTAGTTGAGGATATGTGCGATATCATCACGTGTTGCACATCATCATCGAGGAAGAACCACGCCTTTTGCCAGGACAAAGCACGAGTGACGGGATTCGTATATCGCATGACTGCAGCGCCAACTGTGCCATCGGTTGCTCCGCCCACGAAAGTCTCGATCCCAGTAAGCCTCGTATTGTCGCAGATGAGAGGTATAGCACCGTAATCTACGGTGATACCAGGGATAAGGTTCCAGTCCCAGGCCGCAGCAATATCTTCATAATCGTTGCCCTCCAGGTACGTGTAAACAACGCCATCCGATAAATGGAATCCGAGGGGCTATACTAGAGATCAGTAACGATACAGTAACGAGATTCTCAAGAGTGTACCGACGTTTTGTGAGTTAGTACATTCAGTGTTTAGCGTGCGGTTCGAGTACATCTTAACAGAGGTGACATATCCAGGACCACGATTCACCTGGAGAAGACTGTCAGATTGATACTGATAAACCTCATAGGCAAATAGGAAAACGGACCATGTAATCGCTATTATAGTATAAACGATTGCCGACAATATCACCTTGGTTAGCATCTGAACTATTTTGTAATAGGCTGTTTGCGACCTGGGTCAAAACGCTCGAATTCCATTCCTTGCCGAGAGCAGCTATTTCGGAAACGTTGATCTTGGTGCTACCTGTAGCCCTGCAGAGGACGATTTGTGGGACAAAATGTCGAGCCAGGACGTGTACTTACTGGTTGTCGACCACAGGGAAGCTGATAAAACGGCCCAGAACACTCTAAAAGCGGTTATTAGACGCCGTTGGCAGCAAATGATGCAACTTACAAAGTCCCAATGGACGACCTACAAATGACGTCAGCTCAGTTGCAAAGTGTGCACTACACGAAAAACATCACCTGAGTGCGAATATTGCGGTATATCATCCACAGATCGCCCTCAAGCAGGGTGCCAAAGGCATTCTGGGACTCAGGACCAGCTTCGAATTGTGTGCCACCAGCTGCAATTTCAAGATCCAAAACATCATTGGTGCTAAATTCCCTGGTCAGTGCGCACTTGATGTTGAAAAGGCAACAACATACAAGTCCTTGCCGTAGTTTCCTGAGTAAAGGATTCCATCATGTTGGCTGAAAGAACCATCTGGTCGAATCTTTAAAGGTGGTTATGAAAAATAGATTCGGATCGGTTGGTACAATAACAAACCCCATCTGCTTTCACAGTCGGTTCTATCACAACGGTTTCGTGTATCCTTTGATATGCATCTGTGATAAGCGAAACGTTGAGGGCAAGAATTCCTTGATCTATGCCAACTTTGGCGACATCTAGAGTATTGGCTCCTGTCAAATATCCCAAGCCATGTACGTAGTGATCAAAGGTGCCATAAGCGCGGAGGGAGATATTGCTACAGTTTCCTACTTGGGTAGGCGACAGAGTTTCGTTCAAAAGTAAACAGGTCTCTGAGACAAATACAGGGATGAGGATGATCTGAACATTCCGCGTAAGCCTGCCGTTCTTTTGGTCATGTCAGCGATGGGACATACATTAGAGTACCAGTTCGTGTTCCAGAAGCCTGGGGTACCGCATGGACAACTGGGAGTACCTCCAGAGGCGAGACACGATATATCCGTAAAGTCGTGGGCGAACCAATAGTCCATGGCAAGAGAGATGTTGCTTCTTACGGATGAATCGTTGACATATTTCTCCGCTCCAGCTAATCCACCATGCCAAGCGGCCGCCATAGTACCTAGTAACAAAAGCATGTAAACAAATGTCTACGGTTATGTGGTACAGTATATAACATACTGATACGTTGCCAGTGAGTTTGTGCTGGCCAGTTTGCACGCCTTGCGTCACATCCACTGGTATAGTTTATTTGCGAATCAGGCCATTTTCCATCAGGCCCAAGAGAAGACAGCCTAGAAATCGTAAGGATTGATAAGGCATTTCGTTCAATAAAATGGGTAGGCTAAATACCAAGAAGGGATGCTCGTGATATCGCCGGTCACCTCACTAACGATTGTAGTTAACCTTCGCTGATACAGAGTGTTGATGTCCTGAAGTGTTGTCGAATCAATTTTTTGCACTGAATTGGATGCAGTACTGAATGTAATCATTATACGGCTTGGGACAGATTTTTGCAGTAAGAACTTTACCTCAACGGTAGTCGAGGGTGAAGCTGAGGCCTCGAGGACCATGCTTTCCGCACTGCATGATGAGATCGTGGACGAGCTGTGTGGGCATTGAAATTGGATGATCCAGTACTGTCCAGAAATGAAGCATTTGCTAGAAAAGAGCTGTAGCAAAGGAGTGTGAGGATAGCTTTCGTCGAGGTCCACATTTTGAGTACTTGGGACGAATCCCAGTGCGCCAATGCTGATCAGATTGATCAAAGAGCAAATAAACAGCCAAGAAAAGGGCATTTTATACTACGAACTTAACGTAACGAAGAAGAGGAATAGCGTCCATACCGTAACTGGTCGCAGCCGAGTAAGGCCAAGGGACTCCACCAAGGTCCAACTAGTGGCACCAGATTTGTCGTGTTTGTATTTGAGAGACTCTGAACGTTTCGTTGAGAATTTCAAGGAACAACTGTCTTCCTTCGAATCTTTTGGGGTGTCTACAGGAGACTGTCGTTTGTGTTGACAGGTAATCTAACTTAAAAGTTACATCTCGAGTAACATTGACCTCAGTGGGGTGAAAGATTTTTACATTTCTGTTATTGATATTGTAATGCAGTCAATTATACATTTAGAGGAACTCTCCCCGCAAATGTGAACTGCGATAGTGAGTACTAGTGAGTATTTGACCTTGTATTCTGAATTCTCAACCATGTATCCAGCCATTGCAGCTCCCTTACTATGCGCTGGGATGGGCGGAGTCTAAAATCGGCAGGACGTCGCCTTTGCACATCGGTTTTACTAGTTCAAACAACTGTGTCAACCGTGACATTGTACCATGGACATCGTGAAGTTTTTGGTTTACGAGAGAGAGACCACGACGTCCACAGGTCCAATTACACGGTCGAGATCAAAGACGATGATGTAGTGGCTGATCTACAAGTGTTCATTGCGGCACAACTCAATGCGATTGCCCCTATGATTGCACTATGGAAGGTACATTACTTGTGTGCTATTCCGCATGCTGAAATTGAGGTGCTACCAACCACATCAATTTTTAGGCATCCGAGGCATCCAAGAGCTTCGGTAACGTTTGCGCGATAATAACAACAGACTCGACCAGTTCTGTGACACGATAGCGCAAAAACAGTGTTAATTGCTGAACTATTCCCGGGTCCGCCTACTCGGGTGGTGGCGGGGCCTCCGAAAAAAGAGGATATTGTCGGACATTTATGGAAAAGTACACTTACCTGTGATATCAGGCTTAACACTTCTGACACGCGCTCGTTAACTAGCGTTCGACAACGTCATGAATGGGGCATTGACTGGCAAGTTTCCGTCGGCCAACACGAAGACAGACAATTATTGCGCTCACCAGGGGCAGGAAACACCGATCCTCGATGGTTGTTATACTAGGAGTCTTGCTCCCCCTATCGAACCATATCATCATGTGTTCGCTGAGTTTAAAGTTAATATTCGCGACACGTCCCTCCATGCACCACCATCGTTCGCCCCCGCTTCCCAAATTGGTACGACTGAAGGTAACCACGAGAAAGTAACTCAATGATATTTGCCAAACATTTTGTGCCATGGATCTATTCAGGGTGCTAATCGCAATAAGATTTCGTCAAATCACTTCACCTTAGCCACTCGCACTTTGCATCCCTCCGAAATTGCCATAGTCGTGTTGGCGGAGGAGAAAACCGAGCTGGGCTGGAGACGGAGTGCGTCGTCAGTCTTTCTGCATCTGCATGTTTGGCTTGATATGCTTTCTTTATGATCGTGATGGGATATGTTGAGGGTCAGACGGCAGTGTCAACGTATAGCGACCGCCAAGTCCCGGAGGTAGTCCGGGACTCTGTTCAAAGGGCCGCCAGATACCAGACAGCTCAATGGTTCATGGCGATTTGCGCAAGCCGAACATCTTTATTGTGAAGGGTGAAGAAGTCGAGGAAGATAAGTTATGATTATTGATTTCGACTGGGCAGGTAGGAATGGGGAAGTGAGGTGCCCAGTGCATTTATCGCGCGATACTATGGAATGGGTGCTCATTACAATTGAGCATGATATGGGAATGGTGGACCGTTACCACACGCAGAAGTGTATTCGTGTTACGAGAGTGTCTGATGGAGTTTGAAGCACTAGTTACCTCCCTATAGTATTACAACATACTGCCCAGTCGATTTCTCCATAATTAAATAACTTTCACCATCTGCACAGCACCAGTGCTACCATCCTAGTCACTGTATACAGGAGAATGACATATGATTCAAGAAACTGGTAAAAATAAGTACGGAACGAGCTGTGGCGTCCACCTCGTCATAAATCCTTATCATATGAAGAATGAAAGTTACATAGTATAATCATCAAAAGTCTAAAAAATATGAAAACAGTTCGTTAGGGTATTTAGTCGTAAAGGTCGCTATCTGCTACTACGATCACCACTGCTAGTGGCTCATCACCATCCCTCACGTTGAACTTCCATCAAGGCTTTCCCTGCGTAGTTCCGCCTCTGCAATCCCACAAATGCATAAACGCGTTCGGTAGCTGGTAACGTGGCGTGGATACGCCGCCTAGCTTCGTTAAGTCGTCCAGCAGCCCTCCTAAGCTCAAAGTGTTCCCATCTCAGGTTGCGCAGTGCATGCCTCAAAACGCCTCGACGACGTGGTAATACCCATAATCGGGAGGGGTGCGGAGACACCGAAGCTGTACCAGGAGTATTCGCGTCGGACGTGATCTGTGATCTGACGACTCGGGGTACATGCTTCACTGTGGCCCTCTTCACGAATCCTTTCAAACAGCCGTAGAACCAGAAAGCATGAAGAGGGAAAATGAGAGTGAGGAGGATGGACGGCATAAAGGATCCATTCGTGATGACTTCGCGGTTTGCAGGGACGAAATAAGATATACACAAGGCGATATGAAATATAATCCTGGTGAAAAGAAAACAACCGGCGAATAGGATATCAGAGCGGAAGCGTGAATGAAGACTGGCGATGGCCAGTACAAAGGTGGGCAGCTATGCCGGAATCTTAGAAACCGGAACTTGCGCAGAAAGTATGAACCCTTACCTCCATTGCCGCACAGAGGCAGAAAATGTGTGTCCAGGACTTTCTAATAGCATACTCGACTATGAAAACATATATCGTGTGGTGAATCCACCCTGTCAAAAGATTCACTTTGCTGCGATAGTACACAGTTCCAAGTAATAAATCGCTGGAAAAAATCAACAGGAGCGCAGAAGGTTTGACAGCGCAAAACATACGAGATAAGATATGCTTGAAAAAATCTGCTTGCTGGATACGTCCACGCGTCCAATGTCCGAATTGCTCTGACATCTCCTAGAGACGAGACATAATCCCAAAAAAGAGGCAGGCTGGCAAGTGTCATTACAGAGCTACTTATTGCTGTCAGTATCCACGATCGTTGTTTGGCGGTCGTATACAACGGTGAGAGTAGATGGTATGACACTATAAGCCCAAGTAAAGAAATGACCAAGCTTCGATACCCTGGCAATGCGGCTGCGTCGAATAGAGATGGCATGTCGGGCATCGATATCATGATGGCGCTGGCGGACAGCGGTCCAGGGGAAGGAAGACACCCTCGCAAAATACGACAACAACACTGGCAGTAGAGTTCATTTAAGGCCTATCTCAGGGAATCCAGAAGCGACGCTGACACTGAATCATAGCGTTCTGTCGCACGTTCATTCGTGGAAATAACATGAAGAGAGCAACACAAAAGAGGCGATTTTCAATAGTTTTGAACGCCACGTCCGAGTCAGGCGAGTTTCTTGAGATCTCTTATCACTGCAAGGAACGTGAGCAAGTGGACAACCTGAGCTTTTTCGTATGTTTCATTCGACGATTGCGGCGTATCAGGATGCGAAAGTCGATAAACGAACGTGCTTGGTTATGTTCCGGTCCGGTGTATCCTAGGGCAAATAACACGCAGGAAGGCACGTGCACCATTCAAGTTCTACGCACTCAAAGGACACCTATATAAGCTATCACTACCCCGCGAACGTGGGGTAGATACTGTTGCTCGAGTGCGATTACTTTAGCTGAAATTTACTACTCGACAAAATAGGTAGATCAGTGCTCTCAGTAAAGTTAGGTTTGACCTAGACCTGACATATCGTCACGGACACCTTCCATACTTTTGGCCGTTTGACAACTTCAAGGGTGTGAAGTGAGGTAAAATCGGTCGGGTCTGTTCTAATTATAGTCGACAAAAGCCTGTAGTTTTTTCGCAGTTCGTGGCGGAAACTTGAATGCCAGCAGCTTGTCTCCAAAAGTCAGCGCAATCCTTGCGACAGCAGCTTTCAGAGCTTCAAACCAAAAAGCGTCAGATACGACGAACGAAAAGGCTATAAAGGTAGCACTCTCACCATCTCCAACCACACCGAACACCTCTGCTGCCCGTGCAACTTCTATCCTCTTACGCTCCTTCTCGCCCAGCTCTTGTGCACTAAGCTTTGAGAGTTCTTCCGGAGATGGCGGGGTATATAATGCGTTAACCTCTTGGTGATACTCCTCGATGGCAGATAGGAAAGATAAAAAGGCTTCAAGAATACGGGGTATATCACGCTGGACGACTCCAAATCGATCTTCGGTCAGTGATGCACAGACCATGCGCGAAAGAACTACCGCAAACCATGTCAAAAAACGTTGAGTTTAGTACATATTACCATACCTTCAACCACCAGAGCATCCAACTCTCGATGGGGTAAACATGCCTCAACAACTTTGTTAATCCTCTCTCTCCCCCACCACTCAATGCAAGAGCCAACCACTTGCTTTATCTTGTGTGGACAGTATTCTATAATAGCTTCCTTCCCTTTCCCCTTTATACGCGCTATGAGCCCATTACCTACACTTACTGGTTGCGTCACTGCAATCACAGTAGCACTTGTCGTAGAAGGCTTCTGACTCTGCGGTGTTGAAGCGGGGACATGCATAACTGAGCGAAAGAGTTCAGGAACATTGCTTTTACTGGCTTCTGCTGTGATCTCTACTGCCTCAGCAAGTTTGGAATCTGAGGCAAAGGAGTCGAGAACAGACGTCAAAGGAGATTGGCGGGAGGCCTTGAATATTGGCTGACGAATTAGCGGAGTAGAAGGAGCTTGCGGTGTCTTCGTGACTGGTTTAGATTCACTTGGAGCTGATGCCACCAGCAGTGGTGGGTGTGTGTACAAAACAGAAGGTGGCTACCTGACTCACCAACAACAGGGACAGGTTTGCCCCTCCTCAAAAGTAGCTGATAGTCCCTTCCAAGAGCCAGTAGCGCCTCCCGGGCTAGGCTACTCCATAGGCTCGGGTTGTACTTTTGGTCTCCAAATAAGGTGGTTCTTCGTTCACTTGCCATTGGCGAATCTTCCAAGGCCAAGTCGATGAGTTCCGAATATGCGTACTGGCGAAATATAGGGTCTTGAGAGCTGATACCAGATATCAGAGTCACGCTTGGATCAGCAGTAGTTTGCGCAGTTTTGATAGGCTGTTGACACGCGTTATACTACAACAAGGGTAAGATGTGATGGCGCTTACTTGAGGAATATAGACATCAAATAAAGCCTCCGCAAACTCCCAATTCACCAGAGTTATCATGCCTAGGGACAAGGTCCGCAAGACTAACGAGAAGTTGCGCAATGGCATTAAGAGCGTCCATGAGCCTCTCAGGAAATGAGCGGTAAATGGGCGAAGAAGATGATGTAAAATTGGAATCTTGAACAGGATTGGTAATATGATAGACCTCGCAAGCCCAAAAGCAACACCATACAGACCAAACGACAAAGTCACGAAAAGCGAGATAGTTAAGAGTAGTTTCATGAGATCTCCGACCGAGAAGAGCCAACGCCGACTATGCTGTAGCAGCCATTGAGTATGAAAACAGGTAGTACAATGAACTACAGTGACATACCGTTGTAGGGCTACCCAGCGAAAACCGGAATACAAATCGGTCCAGCATGATATTTCTGAGGAAGAAAGTGCCTGCTAACCAGGCTTGTGAGCACATTAGAAAGATAAATCGTCCATTCAGATAATAGGGATGTTTTCTGCAACAAGAAAAGGAATGAGGGATCAATCATTTCGATATAGTGCGAACACCGATTGTATACCTCGATTTGACAAAGACAGATAGACGACGATCTCCCTGCCCAGATGTTTCCTCTAATTTTGCAAGTGTCACATGCATAACAGCCAAGAAGATGGCAGACGTAACATATACACTGAGTGAACGCAATGTGCTTGGCTTCCCGAGTGCATTTTGCAAGATTTTTGAGGGTGAAGTAGCTGGAGGAGATGCACCTAAAGATGATATATGTTAGTGTATTACCGTAAGTAGATAAAATATCGATGATATAGAACTTGCTACTCCAGCTACGCTGTCCATCGACCGTGGCCACTTGGACGTCAAGCGTCACCCTATGATAGGATCGGCTAGAGTTTGTGCACCAAGATAATTGGTAGTGCAGGGAAAGGCTCGCAACGACAAAACCTTTCATGACGAAAATTATGCGAGAATTCGACTCACCGGTTAGATACACCTTCCGCAACACAGCAACTGGTAAGACGCCAACAACCCAGGTAGTGGCTGCCACCGCCCAAGTCCCAGACCTCACCAATCGCGTTAAAAGACCGAGGCTCGCGTCACCATTTCCAATGAATAACACGCTCAAAGTAAAAGAAAAAAGAGCAGAGTAGGCAAATATGTTGTACAACAGCCTGTTGCCAAGAACGGACTTGAGGAGGGGTTCATAGGCTTGAACAGCAGGCGGTATAGAAGGGGACGATCGGGATGTAAAGGCTAGGGTGTGCGTGACTGGGTGTTTTGCTGATAGCGGTGTCGCTGTTGCCGACATCGTGGACGATGGCTTCAAACAAACGCGTACCAATGCTGCAAAAGACTGCCACGGACAAGTGATTAGGTAAGAAAGCAAATCACATGACGTTGCGCACTCTGGCCGACAATGTCACTGTCGCGGACTTAAGAGGATAGAATTTCTATCATGATCATATCTTAGAAACATCGCAGTCCTTTGCAATCGCGTGAAGACACTGAGTACAAATCAATTTACAAATTCCATGTTTTTTTTGTATTAAACACCATGATATATCTTTTCTGCATACCTTTTTCACCAAATATGGGCGATACGTCTGTATACATTTATGTTTCATACTGGAAAGGATATCATTTGCCATAGACGGTCAAAAGGCACAGGTGCGTACGCCTGCCCGAGGATAGTTTTTCACAGGCTTTTGAGTCCATTCTTTTCTTGCCAGTCTTCATATTTCCGTACCACCTCAGGAGTAATTTGTTTTTGAAGTGCGTTTGCTGCAGATATAAATGCATCCTGCGAGACCTGTTGATAATGATAAGCATCGTTAGAGAGATCCCAAGAACAATGGGATAGAGGTGAACATATGGAGCATTGATATCTTTCTTCATCGTCAGCAAGGCTGCCTCTTGACACAATGCCGTGATTTCCGCACCAGAACAGCCGTCGGTCTGTGCGCAGGATCAGCATATGGAAAACAGCAAGCTTAGTGTACCAACGCTCACCATTGCTGCGATTTGTTTCACATCTAGATTGGGTTCCACGCTCATCTTTCTCGTGCGTATCGCGAGTATATCCTCTCGACCTGCTTGATCTGGTGGACCTACATACATGATACGATCTAGTCGCCCTGGCCGCATCAGTGCTGAGTCCTGATAAGCATAAGCGACCGGATAAATGGAACGTGCTATTTTAGATACGGATGAACGAAACGTACGATAACATCAGGCCTGTTGGTAGCCGCTATGACAGTTACACCAACAAGTTCCTGTACTCCATCCATTTCGTTAAGTAAACTTGTGAGAACACCTTCATGGGGTCCTCCACCACTTGAGTCCGCGGAAGTGCGGGATGTGCCCAAGGCATCAATCTCATCCTAGGAGATATAATTAATAGGCGTTGGAATAGATAGGGCCACGAAAGCGTTTTACAAAAAAAATTATTGATGGGGATGCTGCACGAGCTTTTCGGAAGATTTCTCGGACAGCTCGTTCAGATTCACCAACGAACTTGTTGAGCAGCTGGGCATCATTAAAAGCGTAAGGAGCCAATCAAGTATTTTCGATTTGGGGGAAGTGAAACTCACCTCAGGACCTTTCACTGCAACGAAGTTCACCCCACTCTCGCACGCACAGGCTCGAGCAAGAACCGTCTTGCTGCACCCAGGAGGACCATACAGAAGGACGCCTTTGGGTGGTCTGATACCTAATCTTTCAAACGCTTGCGGATGAAGGAGCGGCCACTCTACTGCTTCTCGTAGTTTCTGGATGACAGCACCCTGTCCTCCGATGTCGGCGTAGCGTACTGGAGGGGTCTCAAAGAACAAGCTTCTCATACCAGAAGGCCGCACGGAGGGCAAGGAGTCGAGGATGTCCGTCAAATTTAGCAGAAGACCATCACCGGGAGAAATAGAAGTAGATAGGGAAGGATTTACGCTGATCCATCGTTTGATCGCAAGAGTCCCTGCTTCGCGAACCACGGCACTCAAATCAGCGCCGACATATCCGTGGGCGCGGGAAGCAATAGTGTGGATGTCTTGTTCTGACAATGAGTGGGGAGCGTTGGCAAGCAAGACTTTAAGAATGGAAGAGCGTGCTTCTATGTCCGGTATGCCTGGTAATAATGTATCCCAATGTTTAGTGGTCGAGAAGAAGATGGAAAATAAAGTACTTGCCTATTTCAAATTCCCTGTCAAACCTTCCTGGTCTCCGTAGAGCTGGATCAATAGCGTTCGGCCGGTTTGTAGTACCGATTACAACAACTCTTCCTTTTCCATTCGCTTCATCTTCCATCCCGTCCAATAGCGTTAAAAGGGTAGCCACTACCCTCTTTTCGACCTCTCCTCCCGCACCTTCCTCACGACGAGGGACTAACGCATCGACTTCGTCCAGCACAACAATACAAGGGCTTTTCTCGCGAGCGTCTCTAAAAACATCACGAAGCTTCGATTCCGTTTCGCCGTGATAAGCAGATGAGAGTTCAGGTCCGTTGATGATGATAACTGAGGAGTTGGTCGATGAGGCTATAGCACGTGCAAGATGCGTTTTTCCGGTCCCAGGGGGACCGTGTAGTAGGATCCCTCGGGGAGGTTTCAATCCTGCATCAGGCAACAAGTGTAGTTGTAACGATGTGCACTGCACAGTAAGTTGGAGATAGATAACAGGACAGATGAGGAATTTGACCCACCAAAGTACCCGAAAAGCTCAGGGCGAGTCAGCGGAATTTCAAGCAGATCTCGAATTTGGGTGATCGTCCTATCCAATCCACCCACGGATGCATAAGCATCCGAAGCTGTAGATTTCGACAGCGTTTCGATATCACGCTACGCAGGCACGTGTATGACCAAGAGATATCTGAGATATGGAGGGTACCTACCTTGCGAGATTCCTCGGGGTGATGCTCCATGTCATTGTCAACGATGTGTACGGACGAATCCCACCCTACAGTCCAAAGAAGGACTGGGGTCTTGATTGAGAGTGAATTAATACCATCTGTTATGGCACTGACAGAGTTGACTGGAGGAGATCGCTTTGGAGATACAGACACAACGGAGAACCTTCGTAACTGGCCCTCATATAAAATCTCGGCAACCTGTGCGAATGTTAAATACTTCAAATCCACTTGAGACCAGTGTCCAAGTGCCAAAGAGAAAATAAAAAAACATTAAAAAGAAAGTTACGAGCAGCTTGCTGAGTATACTGACCCAGATGTTCTCTAAGCAGTAGCGAGAGCCAGTCTCGACGCTTGCCTTTCTTGCGTGTAATTGTGGGATTTAGCGACGGACTAGTACTTCTGGAAATTTCCCTGAAACGGATAGTGCCAGCCTCTCGGATGTCTCGTAGTGATGGCAAGCCAAGTGGCACCTTACTTGAGACTTTCCCTGTCAAGGGAAAAATTTGTACCTTTGTGCCTTCCACCAGGCCTGCCGTGAGTAGTATGGATGAAGACACTAAAATGGCTAGAAGGAAATGACGGGGTCAATCTTAACGAAATAAAATCCCGTCCCATGTGCATGCAACATGGTGAGACTTTACTAACAGTCCTGTGATATATCTAAAGAGGGCCATAACACCCCCACAGCGAAGTCCTGTCAGACAAGAAGTCAGTTACTTCGTGTTGACGAACTTGAAGAAGTTTTTATATATAAAAACGCGCTGACTAGCTCAATAGATCTCACCTTTTGCGATTTGCCGTTATCCGCTTCAGATAAGGCGACAACTTCACCAGAGTTTAGTTTGGATGTCTTTAAAATGTCTGAATGGATGATAACGCGCCGCGCGACACGAAATTCCGCTCCTAAATGTGCAGGCTTAACAGTGAATCGGATAGAGGATATCGACATCTCCCTGGTAAATTCTCAAGACGATGAAAATGCCCTATTATATCTGCTCCGAGTTTCAGACGTTGAACAAAGAGGAAATTTTGCTGACCGTAATTTTACAGATACCAGACACCGGACCAGCGATAGACGTATACAGCCTACCCCAAATAGGTTGTACAGCCTGCTGCAATTACTTACATAATAAATTGCATGGGAATATGTCCAGTGGCATTGGCTGATGTGGTGCAAATGTAACATACCAAGCGTGATGCCCAGTGAGAACTGGCCATGTTCGGAGATGCCTGCTTGCGCCATATTGCGTTTTTTTTTTTGACGTTGTCATGCACCAAAGTTGATTGGTAGCACGGACAGGTGTCAATAACGAAGCAAATATTCAAAAAGACTCGCCTTTGTGCCACACAGGCACAGTGCCACGTGGAATAGTAATTAATATTGCCTTTTTCAAACTTGTGGCTAATCAGCACCACCTCTATTAGGCAATCCAGTCACGCTCACCTTTGCTTTCCATTCGGTACTTGCCGCGTTTCGGCATTTCGGCAAATTTTCGCGTTGCCACTGGCTACACATTGCATTGCACCCTCGTTTTTATTGTTTCCTTCACTTCCCTTCCTTTGCCTAGCCCCACCATGGGTCCCTTACTCTTGTTTTTATTCTCACCTGACGGTCGTTTCTGGATCCCCATTTTAGTTCACCTCCTCGTCACCTCCACCCTCCTCCTCCTCATCTTCTTTGCTCCCCCACCATTTCTGATGTCACCACTTCCTATCCGCTTCCGTCGCCAAACCGTCAACTACCACATGCCACTGCTGATATCAGCAAAGCCCCGGCGGCCGGTTCAAATAGGGCAACAGGTCCATCTTTATGACGTCAATCTACCATCATATACTATCAAAACATTGGTCGCTCGTCTTGCCTGGTTGGAGCATGGGTGGGTAGTTTTTTGAGCTGGAGAAGGTTCATCCCCTTGCGTTGCCCATGTTTATCGCTGTCCCATTCACTTGGGTACACTTATCTTTTGTCCATCGTCTTCGCTACAGCTACACCTACCACACGCTGCCTGGGACTCACTTGTTCCAAATTGGAACTACTTGTTACGATAACACAATTTTCGGACCTTCCCTTTATTTTTATTTTTCCGCTTTAACCTTGTACTTTAGCTTTCACACATGGTGCCACGTGGCACTTCCCCTTTTGTCCAAACTCCTCTTTCTCGCGCCGCGTTGCCTTTCTTCTTATTATAGACACAACTCTCTCACACAGCGGAGCTGGCCATGCGGGCTAGGCCCCATGACATCATCAGCCACTGTCTCTATCAACTGTATAGTACACATGTACAAATAACCCTGTAGTAGTATATATACCCCAATAGATCCAGGAGACTCCTCAGCGAGTCCTCTTGTTGTTAACCAACAAACTCTCTGCAGCTCAAAGGGTAACCACTCCCTCATCATCTTCCTTATAGTGTGTTTCTGTGTGCA